TTTTGTTCAACTCATTTTTAGCACATAGCAACCAATACGGAGAGCGACAGCTGAGTGAAGCTCGTCTTCGGCTCCAGGGTGTTGAGGCTGCCATTCTTATGTACCATCGAGTCATTCTCCAAGATGCTTATCTACCTAAGAGAGGTCTCGGCAAGAAAAAAACCCTCGGTAAACGTGCTGTGCTTTTCAGCTTACTCGTTCGGCTCGTCTTACACTCCCGTCGATCCGGTTACTCTATATCCAGCATCATCTACTGTCTACATGGATAAAAAGTGTTAACTAGGCCTTCGTACCACGGGTAGTAGCGTTTATTATCACTCAATCGCGTCGCCACCGGAAGGTAGGCCGGGATCTTGAAAACCGGACCTCGATAGCTTATTTATACTAGCTGAGTGGGGGTGGTGTTGGGTATGATTGGCGGCGACCGTGAACCGGCCGCGGCCGAATCAAAGCTGTTCGCCACATTACCCTGGAGACTGGCAGTTCCAGGGATGTTGCAGCTAATTGACACTATCACCAGTGAACCATTGATTACTCATATTGATCCAAACTCTTCATACAGCGTGAAGCTTAGTTGACAGCCGGACAAGAGAAGCCTTGTGGAGGTTGCGATCAAAACGAAAGGTGCGCGAGGCTTTGGGCCACGAAGAGCACAAGGGAGCTTGAGGGTGGAAGGGGAAGAGCGGAAAGGTACTCACAGAAGTAGAATCCAGACCAATAAGATCGAGCAGATCTGGAGACGAAACTCCGGCCGGGAGGCTCGATCTGCAAAGAACCTTCAAAGACAGAGCCTTTCATACCTATAAGGCTCCTACAAACTCGTGAAAAGTATACTCCATGGAAATCTAGACACGCCCATAGATTCAAGCTCTATCAAAAGCAAGATTCCAAGGCCGTTGGCTAAGTCTCCAGAGAGGCAGAACTACTCGTCCTCATCGCGATAGCCTCAATGTATTACAAAAGGCCGGCGTACGATGAGCTCCAGGAAAGGTTTTGCCCATAATTACACCATCTACGCCTGAGCGAGGTCATTCCTGAATAAACATAAAAGATGGAAAGTAGGTCCCGGAATGGCCGCGCCGCCGCCAACGGAGGGAAGCAGGTAGTAGCTTCCTGTTTAGATATATCGCCATTCTTGTAGCTTCATTCGGGTTGGGCGACGCTTGCCGCCATAGATATAACTCTTCTCGATCGCACCTTCTAGCGGTTAGAGCACCTGGTACGCTCCTTCCCTTCCCCACCTCGCCCTGATCGACGATAGCATTTCGTCTATGAGTTGTGCCAAACTATGAGAAGTTCGTCTTAGGAATCGGGCTGATCCTTTCTCCTTCGTATCATGATTATCGTGTACCGACCGGCCCCTTTCAGCTTAGTACAAGTAAAGACGGTCGTTAGGAAAACCTGGATAATTCGATAGAGTTAACAGCTAGGTTTATCCACAGATGGCATTGCCAAGGGAAGATTCGAATCGAAATCCGAGCCCGAGCACTTAACGGAGAGGGAACATTGAAGCTCGAATCGGGTCGGGTATTTTCTTTGCCTTGGATGACGGCTACAAAGTTTTCCCTGACAAGACAATGCCAACACTCGTACAAATTCGAGAAGAAACTCATGACAATCTAGTCCCGAAGCAAGAGCCAAACACGCGTGGAATCATACACCGAGTTTTTTTTTACCGTATCGCATAAGGGTGCCCATAGAGGCCCGAAGGCTTTTTGAAGCCTGGGCCTGAGTGACCAGAAATATCAGGCTAGGTTTACAACTTTAGCCCACTACTCCGCCGGTCATTCCAGGTTCGTCTCCTTGGTGCTTATCACGGCGTTGAATTGACATCAGCCCATGCAAGCAGATTTTTTCTCCTCATAAGAAGACCCTTCAGGAACAGCCTCCGTCAGCGACGGAAAGGGACAAAATGAATGAAATAAAATGCCGTGGTTCGACGTCCTCAAGTCACACAGCGAGAGGCCAAAACGTGTGGCCGATTTCATTTAAGCCGGCGACCGGATTTGTATCTTCGCCGACGGCAATCAACGCAATGGGGAGCTGTGGTTGGCTGGATACATCCGCCGCATTCATCCTCATCCTTTTGGCATATCTACCTTTGCTCACTTTCCCAAGCGAACGCCGACCCATCAATGACAGAGAGTGCTTTCACCGGCAACTCGGTTGGCCCCCTCCCCTTGTTGCTGCCCAGCTGTCCAGCTGCTCGCTACCGTCCCGTCCTCCCGGACCTTGCCCGTATTCGTGCTTTTCTTGTCACAACGCACTCGAGGACAAGGGGAGAAATCTCCCAACCCCCATTTCTCCAGCCTTTTCCATACCTATTGGGGGCTACCAGGACACAATGTTGAGGACAAACTGTCAAAGGTATCTTTCCTCCTGTAAATGTGATTGATTTTGGTCCTCTGAACAGGCTCTGGCAAAAGCCCAGCAGAAAGGGACAGGCCAAGGTGCAAGCAATATCTCAACAGCCATCGATGGGATTGAGCTTTCGGCAACCCGCGCCGCATATTTTCCAGCTCCCGCTCTGAAGCATAAGATAAAGATTGATCTATTTTTTATCTTTTATTTCTTTTGGAAAGTGGATGTACGCCCTCGTCCCGAGGCCGCCTGAAACTCCCCCTGGCCATGGTTCCCGATATTGGCGCACGCAGTCCGTTTCTGGACCCTCTGACCGCCACCCGGGCCTGTCGAGCTGTCGGGGCGAAGTCCGAACGCGGGTTGTCTCCCACAGCCAGGGGTGGCCCTCTTCCCCTTCTCTTCCTACTTCCCACCCTCCCTCCTCGGCGGACAGTCTGGACAGGCCGACTTTCAGTTCCGTCCAGGTATTCCACTTTATTCGCTTCGAGGCCAGGAGAGAAACCCTCCGAGCCGACTCGGCTCATGATAAGATTTGTGCCTCCCGATCTTGACCTCAGAAGTGAGAGAGGGGTAGGGTACGTCAAAGGCCAAATTACGATCAATAGGCTCGGAGACAAGTGAGAGCACCTTGCTACTGTTGAATCAGACACTTCAAGATACCCAAGAAGGCAGGGTCCATCACAATCAACTCTATTGAGGACTGGAAACACCATCCCCTATCGTTGCTATTTACAGGCAGGGGCCATGTTAGACACCGCGTCTTTTACTCTCCCGCGGAACATGACGCTACATGCGAACCTGACGATATGCAAATTAATTACAGATATCCGTGAGTAGAAAATGCCCGATACTGGTGTGTGTGTGCTGGTCATATAGGCAGAATCGCGCCCACCGCCATAGGCAACGCACCCCCAACACACCATCAGGTTTCTCGCAGGTGGTGCATCCGTCAAGTCAAGAAGGAGCCTCTGCATCTCGCTCCTAGTCCGAAAGACACCCCCTCCCTCTCTACCTCTGCGATTTCTACTCTCCTTTCTTTTCCATTTGCCGTTGGAAATGGCCACCATCTTGCCCCCAATTTTCGGAGAGTGGATACAGTGGCCCTGTTGCACCTTACGAGTAGTACGGGTGGCTCTCTTCTCTGAAGCTATTACCCATTATCTCGCGCGGGAGGACGACTTTTGCGGGTGCAAATATCTGGCAGTAACAAAACTGGGAACCGCCCGCTTCAGCCGCTCCTTACGAGTGCATCGAGCTGTCCAAGCTTGCATCATTTGGTGTTGATAAATCGACCTAGGGTCGGGAATACCCACCAGGCACAGATATTCCATGAAGCAGAAATTGGGGGTTAGTGGCCCGCTTCTGAGGCGCGGTAGCAACAAGAGAGACAATATCCAATGTCCTCGGCCGATACTTGCTTGGGGGCTTGGTGAGAGCGAGCAAGACCGGCAGTCAAGGTCAAGCGATCAACAGTTTTAGAAACTCGATTCATATCCAGCCACTCTCCGTCTTATGGAAGAAGGTCCCCTGCTCCGGGCCGTTCATCACGTCTTTTCCAGGAATTGTGCGGTACAATGGATGTGCCCCTGTTCTCCTTTGTCTGTTTCTCCCTTGTCTTCTCTTGTTCTTTTTTCTTTTCTTTTTCTTTTTAATCCTTTTCACTCACTCTAAACTATCTCCGGGCGACTCGGAAGCCATCGCCGAGTTGTGCAGGACGGACTCGGCTGGTCCGTCGCATCAGCGATACATCCCTTCCTTGACGGAAAACCTAGCAAGGGGCTACGCTGGGTGCAGCCTTTGTCACTGTTGGTCACCTCGTGGCAGATGCATCAAGGAGTGTGGTAACTGTTACCCACTCGACGTCGGTGCAGTAAAACTCAACACTCTAAATTGCTATATTCCAGCTGGCTGGATTCGCAATCCCTGTCGGTTACCCTGTCACATCTGCTGTTTCTTCACTCAACGTCTTGATGACTTGGCACTCATCGCCATTTTTGGGGAGCGAACTAAGCTTCCCGCCTCAGCCTAGGCAGTCTTCTTGGTTCCTGGTAACCGTCTGGACACAGGCTGAATACAGGGGCAATATTGTCCCGCCGCGACCCAATATGGCTCTTTTGACCTACTTCCAGCCCATCACCTAGTGTCAAGACAGTTCAACCTGCGATAAACATGGATCGCGCATCCCACTTGCCTAGCAGAAGAGTGCACGTCTGTCCATATTGATGATGCTATTCCTGGCTATACTAGCTATATTGCACAATATCCAAGAGTATTTTGCTCAAGCGTCTTTACTTTTCCCGGTCTAACCTCATTATCAGCACCGAGGATAGCTCACGCCCCTCCTTCTTCTGTGTTTGGCGATGTTTTCCGTAGACCGCCTTGAGGCGATATTGAACCCGACTTGTTCTTTCCATTATAATAATGAGCCATCAGCCCAACCAGTCCTCGACTTCTTTCTCTTCGTCAAGACTTGTTTCGTTTCTCTTTTCGAAGGTTGTCCCGGTCATTCACTAAGAGGCTTTAATCATCCACCCTTTGCTCCTCTTCAGACACTCGTTTCTCCTTCTTTGTACTCTCCTTTTCAATTTCCTCTATTATTCTAATACGACCGAGATCGAGACGCACGCACACCAGTCACAATGGCGGCTACTCTAAGGTCCTTTGCGGTGCTCTTCGCACTCATGGCTGTCCGTGTCATGGCTGACTGCGTCAGCTACGGCATTGACTATGCCAACGGTGGTCAATACTACATCGACGCCAGCTCCGTTCAGTACTTCAGCTTCGTCTCTGTTTTCCAGGGTATGAGACCCTTTTATCTTCCCCTTCCATCATCCATATGGCTCCCATGCCCAGAGAGTTTGGAGCGCTGACAGGTCTTATTTTGCTCAGGCTGCACGTCGGAGGCGGTTAACCCCGTCCTCCAAGACCCCAACGGAAACAACTACTCTTGCTCAACCATCACCACTCAGCCCGAGGGCCAGCAGTTGACTTCCACCTGGTAAGAACCCAAACCGTGTGCACCCGATTGCGTTCGGGGGCGGGCGAAAAACACAAGAGTTCAAGAAGTCGGCGAGCCATTTAGGGAAAGCGCTAACATGGTAATCTGCGCACAGCGGCATCCCTTACTCCTCCATGAGCTCCGGTGTCTGGAAGATCATCATCTCTGGCGAGCAGGTCAATGTTCAGCGAACCATCACCCTCACTGTTGGCCTTCCCGAGACCGAGACCGTTACTGTAAGTTGATGACAACGCCGCGGCAACCATCAGGTGATGGACTCAACGCCTTGTTCCTAGAAACTAACATGGAGCGTTCCCCTCTCAAGGCCACTCCCACCATTGTGCTCGGCATTACCAGCACTCCCAAGGCTGTCACTGTCAAGACCACTAGCGTTGTGTACAACACCCTCATCCTCCAGCCCCTCTCGTCACCGCCCCTGCGGCGCTGGCCAGACCCAGACCGTCACCAACCGAAACCAGGGAACCGTCGTCGTCGAGGAGACCATCACCCGCACCCAGACCGACGGACAGATTACCAGCCGCTACCAGACTACCGAGACCACTCTCGCTAGCTGCCACTACCCCACCAGTATGTCGAGCTCGCCTCATCCTGCTTTAGCAGCCCTTTGATCAATGTAACTAACGTTATGTCCCTTTAACAGAGAAGCGAAGTCTCAAGGAGCGCGAGGAGGCCGCCGTCGCTGCACAGACTGTCACCTACACCCAGACCACCTACACTGTCACTCAGACCGTTGTCACCACTGTTCCTCCCCAGACGACTACCGAGCTTGCGCTCGTCACCAGCACCACCACCAGGTATGTAAACTCCTGCTGACTGTCAATGCGAGAATGAACTATGCTAACGTGTGTAAAAAGCCAACCTCCTCCTTCCACCGTCTGCAACGGTGGCGGCCAGCAGGTTACCGTCACCGTCAACCCCGGTGGCCCTGGCGTCACCCAGACCAACCTTGTCTACACGACCGTCCATGCTTCCGGCACTGTCTGGGTTGGGTACGTATTTGTCTTTTTTCTCTTCTCTCATTTCCCCCTCTTCTTTTCTTCCCTGCATTTCGCAAGCCAGGCATCACAATCGCGGCGTGGTGGTTGCGTTGTACCCCGAGCGGCGGTGATCAACCGGGAGGGAGGCCTGTGCTGGTAGAGGCCCACTTCGGCGCCGTGCCGTGTTCCTGGCGGAAATGCTACACAGCCAGCCACCCATCGCCTCCTGCATCATGCACTTGAATGGTTCGCGTACGGGCGATTTCCCTCCCTCCCCGCTTGGCCCCCTTCACAGATTCCCGTCCCACGTCCCAATCCAACCACAAACTCTTTCCGCTTTTTGCCTACGCCCCACCGCTCGTCCGGGTCGGGTCGGGTACATCGCCATTGGCTCGGCCCTCCGTTTGTGTGTTTTTATCAGCACCGATGCCATCACGGTGATGCTTGAAACTCGGCTCCAAGGGAAATCCAAAAGTTTGGGTGCCCTGCTCTCCACCCGTCCCTCCCTCTTGCCTTTTAATCTATATCCCGTTCAACACTTTTCGTATTTGCCTCCGCCCCTTTTTCCTGAGGAAAATTCTTTTCCTTGGCCCCAAGCCAAACCATGTCTACAACACTCGACTCCTTCATGCTACCGTCTTAGAGAATACATCTCATCAATTTCGCACTGGTACTAACTCCTCCTTCTCTACAGCGAGACTGCCTACACCACTATCAGCAACGCTGCCAGCGCCACTGCCTGCTGGAGGGCTGGTGGCTGGTACGGCGCTTAAGCGGAAGCAGCCTGCTGCTTACCCCTTGTCATTTCTCCTGGAAGCACTTTTTTCCTTGTCCTGTTTACATCTCATGCGGGAGCGTCGCACCTGGTTTACAAACTTCTTTTCTTGATTTGTGATTTGCACCAGAAAGAAGAAGGTGCGAAAACAGAAAAAAATTACAAATCCTCGGGATCTCGGGGAGCCCCATGTAGGAGGAACAGGTTTGCGCGGTTCGGGGCCCGGCTTGTATGAAGAAGAAAAGAATGAGAAACCGACAAACGACTGCCTTACCTGGTCCCCTTTGCGAAAACAAACACACTCACACAATAGCATGTTTCTTATACTCGGGATGCCTAAGGGAAATCGGACTGGGGTCAACGGAATAGTAATATGAAGGGTCTGGCTGGAAAGCCGTCTGTGGTGCGAGGAGTCAAGGAGGCATGTCCCCGTTCAAACCCAGGGTTGATAATGGAGGCGAACCAAAGCACCATTGCAAAATCTATGGGAGGACCTGAAAAGAGTCCTTTCCCTGACACAAACACATTTCCCTCCTCTTCTCTTCTTTTCTTTTTCTTCCATATTTTTATCTTATCGTCTGTCTTTAAACGATTTCTCTATAACTTTATTTATTTAGTATATTTTCTCTTACCTCCCTACTATCTCCCCCTTTCTGCAGCATCTCACCTCAGCTTTGCTCCGTGTTCGTGACATGTGCCGCCACTGGAATGCCGGCAGTACGGTAGGGACGGGGAAGAAAAAGAAAAGCTGAAAGGTGAAAAGATGGAGAACTCCGCCGTGGGGTGTATCGAGGAGGTGGGCTAGAGACATACGGCTAGACTCAGCCGTACACGCAGGATAACAGAAGGAAGACATGACATATTATGGATTATATTTAAGAAGTTTTTGTGTGTACATGTAACGGTATATCTTGCCATGATCCAGGCCGCCATATTCGTAAGTCCCCCAATATACAAACAAGAAACGCAAAGGCGTATGAAGAAGAAATAGGATGAAGATGGGGAGAAATAAGTAAAAAGGAAAAGGAATAACGCCAGGATACGCCACAGAGGGCAAAAATATAGCGCCCCAAGGTCTCCGAGGAAATGAGCACAGAGGTCGACTAGAACAAGAGACGAGGAGACGTGTCTGCCATCGTCGTGTTCTCTTCCACGCACCGAATTGGCCCCTCGGCCCTATCATCCGATAATACTATTTTGTGTATCGGATTCCTCTCGCCCTCGGAAATTTGGTGCCAGGAACGGGAATAAAAAAGAATAAAAAATAAAAACAGAGTGAGCGTGAGCAAAGGAGACAAGAAGCGAGGTAAACTTTCATCGAGGCAAAAGCCTCGTCTACTTTAGTTCCTTCTCCAAGAGCAAGAGGTTGACTAGACAAAGTCCCTCGTCGACTGCTCCGGCCCCAAGTCATTGTTCCTCGCGCGCGTGGCATGGACGTCCATGAGGCCAATCTGCGCGGGGAGGGGAGTACTCCTGGCGGCTGAGGTCGGTGGCGCCGCCGCCGCCGCCGCCGCGCTTAGCGGTGGAGTCGACGGTAGAGTCGCGGTAGGGGACGGCGTCGTCGTCGAGGCCGCTGGAGCGCCAGGGTTCGCGGTTGAAGCCGCCGCTGGCGCCGGCGCCGGAGGCGGAGGACTTGGGGAAGGCGAAGCCGGAGCCGGCGGAGGAGCGGCGGAGGATGCGGGAGCGGAGGCCCTGGTGGAAGGTGAAGAGGCAGCTGACGGCGGTGAGGAGGATGATGATGCCGGCGAGGATGAGGTTGTACATGCTGACGAGGGCGAATTGGAAACCGCTGTGGAGAAGAAAGGGGGCGCGTTAGCTGCAAGAACGGAAGGAGGAGGGGAGGGGAAGAGACGTACAGGAATGCGTTGATGGAGCCGAGGAAGATGACGATGCGGCCGACCCAGACGTGAACTGGGGTGAGCTTGCCGGTGCCTTCGCGCCTCCTGTAACGGATGTGGTGCATCACGCCGACAACGCTGTGTAGGAAACAAGAAGTGTTAGCTAACGGGAGGAAGACAGTATGGGGATTATCACGGATCTGGGGCCGGGATAAGGCGAGAACTTACAATTGCCCGATGAGGCCGGCGATCACAAGGTAGCCGATGACCTGATGCGAAGAAACAAACTTGCGCGACTAGGAGAGACGGTCAGCAGGTGTAAAAGGAGGGAGAGCAAAAAAAAAAAAAAAAAAGAATACACGAAAGACGTACTCGTTGGTAGTGGAAGCTGGTGAGGATACCCAAAGCGAAGCCGACAAGCGCGCCAAGCAGGGAGATGAACTGGTTGACGGCATGCCACTTGGGCGAGTTACCGATGCGGAGGATGAAGACGCCGAGGGGCAGCAGGACGACGAAGACGAGGATCATGAAGACGGCGTGCATGGTGGACTTGGGGTCCCAGCGGCCGTTGCGCTGCATGTGGGGCTCGGTGCCCTGGTTGGAGGAGCCGTCCGAGACCTCGGGGGCGTCGCCGGCGCCGCGGGTGCGGCCGAGGGCGATCTTGAAGGAGCCGTAGCGGGAGTGGTAGCGGAGGGGCGCGGCGGGGTCGTTGGAGCGAAAGGTCTCCTTGGGGCCGAGGGCGAAGATGGCCTTTTGGTTGTCGTCGGAGACGTCGATGTAGCCGCCGGGCCAGGAGCGGCAGCCGGAGAGGCAGTGGGCGGAGACGACGAAGTGGTTGTCGGTGACGCCGGTGCCGGGGAGGGTGCGGTACTCGAAGTTGGGGTAGTAGGCGGGTTCGTAGTGGCCGCGGGCGTAGCGGGGGAGAAGGTGACGTTTGTGCCGTCTTCGTTGGCCTGGTTTGGTTGGGTGAGTTAGCCTCTGTTACTTTTGGTTCATCTTTTGCCGGCACAATCTTGCAGTTCATACGGGCATGGAAACGCGAAAACGCCGGTAAAAAGACAAAAGGAAGGGAGGGGAGCGTACGTAGACCATGAGGACGAGAGCGCCGTCCATGTCCTCGGATCCTAGGCCAATGGCGCCCCACGCGTATTCCTTGGGGAATCGGATTGTGAAGAAGAAGTCGTCATCCTTGATATCGGGGACGGTGAAGCCAAATGCCATGGACTTGTCTTCGGTGACGAAAGTGGATTGGCCGTCCGTATCGGCGAGAACGGGGTTCGATAGAAGACCTGGTGATGGGCATTCTAGTTAGCATTGCTTGGGAGATCCGGAGGACTAATCGCAGCGCTTCCGAGGGGCGAGCAAAGAAAGAGCTTGAGTTGGGTATCGAACTCGTGGGTGACTGTTTCCCTTCGCCTTGTTCGTTTTCTTACCTCCAGCCAGCAGGAGGGCGCCCGCCGCGACGGAGCCTATCCGGCTCAACCCGGCCCACATGTTATCTACGTTGTTGTGTTTGAAATCGAGGTTCGGAGGGTCCGTGGAGGCCCTAGGAAGGGAGGAAGATGGGTGGGTGACCTAATGGCCTCGACTATTCGGGGATATGCTTCGTCGAGGTCGGTGGGAGGCTTCGAGAGGAGGTGAGCCTTCACTTAATGATCGCGCGTACCCGGTACGTTGGAGAAGGAACCAAAGTCTACGGTCGGACACGGGGCGGATTGAGAATGAATGGACGACGCTTAGGGAGAGGCTTCGGCAAGAGAAGAAGAAAAAACACTAGAGAAGGGTGTATCCAAGGATAAGGGTAACCAGCGAGACGCCCCGTCTAGTTCGGAGGAGACGCACGTCGAGGTTGATTATTGCTGCTCCACAGTAGCCACATGAAAGCGGAAACAGTCCGTATGGGCATTAACGTAAATGAATGAGGGAGAGTGACACGGGGTGAATAGTATTCACAAGCATAAAACAAAAAGAAAAGTAGTTATTACGGTGCTGGTGGTCTCCCAGCAAGACTGTCTCTCAACCCCTGATAAATGAACTTGCAGCAAAATAAATTAGAGAACCAAGGGGCAGCATGGCGCGTTAGTTGGTGGTGTGGGGAAGGTGCTCGTGTTCATGTCACCCGTCCGCGTAGCACACGCGAAAAGGTACAAAACGAGGAAATCGACGGCGCGACCTGCCAAGTCGAGACCCCCTTCTCCCCTTCTCCGCCGAGGGAAAGGGGAGAAGGGGGTTGATCTTGGTGCCACTGCCAGGAATGGCTCGTCGATCAATTGACTTGGATCCATCGATGCCCTGATCTGATGTCTTGCCAATGGATTTTGTGCTCTTTTTCGCTTTCCCTGCTAGGCGGCGCAGCACCGTGAAGAGCCAGCCCATTTCTTGGCTTCTTGAAGGACCCCCTTTGCTGGACCAGCACTCGTAGTCTGCTAGCGCCAGGTCCAAATTGATCCATTAGATCGAACCTCACGAAGAACACCAAATGCCATTGCTATGAGGACCAACTCGACATGACCCAAGGTGTCATCTCCTACGGCCTTATTGGCCCAAGCACAAAACGTTCAGTTCGAGAGCGTAATTGCTCCCGTGCCCTGCATGAAGCGAGAGGCAATGAGCACACTCTATAGATGAGACTCCATTGGCTCCTGCTTGGGGTCCGCATTGAACAAGAGGGAAAAAGAAAGAAAAGGGCATTATTTGGTACTAGCCAGAGAGGGTGGATGTCACTGTCTCATTTTCCCTTTCAAGCCAAATCCCTGGGAACTCGCCCCGTTCAGCGAAGTGGATTGCTTTACTTCGTATGTGATTGGTCGAGCTGAGACTTGTGCTCTGGAAAGTGTTGGACCTTGAAATTGTATTTCCTGCAAGCGCAGTCACTAGCTTGCAGCTGGCGAACCTCTCATTCTCGAGGCCAAGATCTCCAACTTGAAATCCAGCATATATAGAGGCGTCTAAGCCATCCGAGGGTTTGCTAAAGCTTCCAGAAGGAGACCAAAAACTTCCCTTGGCAGCACCCAAGATCTTGTAGACGCGTGCTCCAACTCTTAAACACATCTCGTTTCTTTGGTCAGTGGAAATGGTGTTGGTCCAGTTACGCCAAATCAATTACTCCCCGAAGTTCCCATATCTACAGGCTTCCTATCATTATCATACAGGTAAATAAAAGAAAGAAAACCATCCGACGTTGCGGTTTGACAAGCCCTACGCCTCAAACATGTCCTCCCTTTTATCCGTCTTGTAACTCAACCCGACCGCCTTCCTCACCCTGCGCGAGACGTGGTGTATAGACCACCCCGCGCTCCCCGCCCGGTAGCCGTAATCGAGGACGTAGTACCCCAAGACGACCAAGACGATCAAGGGCGCCGAGGCCGCAAAGTAGACCCAAAAGAGCTCCTGGCCAGGCGCGTACGGCTCCGTCATGCTAAACACGGACGAGGTGTAGGCGAGCGGGATAAAGATGAGCCCGATGAGCGTGATGGCCTTGGTGCTCTTGGCTTCGCGAATCGTGCGCTGCTGCTCCTTGTACGAGAGCCGGTTGCCCGTGATGCCCGCCAAACCCGTGACCGCGGCGTTGAGGGACGCGGTGCGGTGCCGCAGCTCCCGTAACCGGCGTAGGAGAAACAGAAAATCCGCTTCGCAGTCGAGCCACGACGGGTCGGGTCGCGCCTCGGCCGGGTCCTTGCGGTAGGCCGGTGGCGGGTGGTAGGCGTGGAAGGGGAAGAGGACGAGCAGGACGAGGAGGACGCCTCGTCGGCGAGCGAGATGCCGAGCTGGATCATGATGCCCTCGAGGTCTTCGAGGTATTCGCCCATGCGCCGCTCCCAAGCCTGCATGTCGCTCCATAGGGCTTCCACTTTGCGCATGGGCATCCGGGCAAGGTCCTGCTTGCGCGTGAGGCCGCGCTGCACGGCGATGAGGGCGGACCGCACGTGCTCGATCTGTACGAGGTAGTGCGAGGCTACGATCTTTGGACGAAGACGGCGACGCCTTCGGGTGAGACTGCGTGGCCCGGGAGCGTCTCGATGAGCCGGTGGTGCGTCTCGAGGTAAAAGGTTAGGTCGTCGTGGAGGCAGGTCCGCGGGGGCCTGAGAGCACGCGAAGTTGCTCTTCTTCGGGGACGAAGTCGATGTACCCGCCTTGGTAAGGGTAGGTCTTGACGTCGAAGGCGTCGGTGTAGTTTTCTCCTGCGTGTACGCGCCGGAGGGGCGGGTCGCAGATGACGAGGCCTAGCTATATGTTAGACTCTCTTTCTCTTTGGCAATGATGCATGTTTTTCCTAGAGAAAAGGATTTGGGGGATTCGGGTGTGCCTCTTACAGTCCCATCCACCACCTTCTCTCTGTCTAGACCAAACTCCACACTTACGAACCACCATACCCACATCCAAAAACTGATCCTCGTCATCCAGAGAATCCCCCACTTGAGCTCCCTCGACACCCCAATATGCTTCCCCGTCACCCCGCACGCCCACCGAAAACTCCGCGGCGTCACGTCAAACGACACCACCTCGTGGTACCGCATCCGCAAGTGCGCCCGCCCGCCCCGCAGGCTCGACGGCAGCGGCACCCGTCGTTGGCGCCCCGCCCCGCGATGTCGTGCACCACCACGCGCTCCTGCTCCACGAACATGGCCGGGTGCAGCGAAAGTGCGCGCCCACCACCCCGACGAACCCCGGGCCCATCCCCTCGAGGATGTACACGGCTTTGCGCCCCGGTGGCGAGGAGCACGCCTCGGCGGACGAGAGGTGCGCCTGCAGCGCTTCGGGCGTCGTGTAGCAGGCGCGCGTCCGGAAGGTACCGTCGTCCGCGTGCGCTTCGAGGACGGAGACCCGCGCGTGCTCGTCGGTGAAGGGGACGTGCAGGTTGGTGGTTTTGGGGTCGCGCTGGCGGAGGCGGGGGTCGGAGGCGCAGAGGCGGGAGATGGTGTCTTGGTAGGAGCCGTTGGCGAGCCAGCTGCCGAGGTTTCCTGCGGGTTTGGAGGTGGAACTCATCTTGGCGAGCTCCTCTCCTTCTTTTCTTTCCTTTGGCTTTTGCGCGTGTGAAAAGGTGGAATTGCCAGTGATAAAGAGGGGTGTTGGCTTCCTATATCTTGGGGCGGGATGGTCGTGTAAGTCCGCCAACGATAACCTCAAAGAATGCAATTGATACGGCAACAAAACGGGATTGACTGCTACGACTCCCCGGGGACGAGGAAACGAAACATGATGGACTCGACGAATTTATCTCGAAACGTGAATAAATCTTTCTTCGTTGAAAATTTTAACATTGAGTCAAGTGCTCCAAGACAGCTGCTACGGGGTTTTATATATACAGTATCCCAACATGCGCCAGTGGGTATTAGCCGTCTTCAATCTCGAAATCGAGGCGAGCAAAGCGAGCGAGCATGTTTGGGGTTGTAGGACTGTGGGAGCTCAAGGTGCGTCTGCAAGCGTGGTTGGCTGTGTGGCTGAGCTCCCCAGGAACAGCAACCACTGTCCAAGGCCGAATCAGGCCACCGAGGTGCTTCGTCCAACCACTCTGCTCGCCCGCACCCACGACCCCGCGTGCCAGTGCGATTCGAATTGCCACGAGGATAAGTCCTGCAGCTCGTAGAAAAATATCCCTCCATGTCGTCCCTGGGATTGTGCGCCCGTCATGCGTTCGAATTGCCGACCGACGGCGCCCTCCCCCAGCAGAAAGGGGCAGTGCACCATGGTCTAGCAATTGCTTCTATTTGTTCTTTGTTCGTTCCGAGGCGGGTAATTTAGGCGGGAGCCAACGTGCCTTTCCCCTAATTTGACCTCTTTTTTCTTCCCCGCCCACCCGCAGACACGCTCGGTGGGCAAGGAGGCAAGCGCAAGGGTTTGGCCGGGGCGTGACTTGGACGGGGACGAAAATATAGCGGAATCAACAGCCAGTGCTGAGCTAGATGGGGCGACCGAGCCAGACGTCACACCCACCCACCCCCTTGGCCGAGATCCTGCAGGGCGGTTTCCCCAGCGCTCTCTAAATCGTTCGCTACCGTGTTCCATGCTGTTCTCCTGTTCTAAAATGGGGTATCTGCGCGGTAAGAGAAAAGAGAAAGGTTGCTTGCAAAGGAAGAGGGCACACGGTGCTCACGCGACTCAAGGGTGAGCGCTCTGGACCATCCCCCTTCTTCTTCCTTCCCACCGCCACAAGTCGCGTGTGCTCGCTCTCATTCCGGCCGCATTTGATACGACCGTTGTGTAAAATGTGGTTAGTGTGAGGGAGGGGAGGGAATCAGGCACCAGGTAAGAGAGAGGGCAGCCTCACTCCGCCGCCTCTGCCTCCGCCTCCGCCCGCTCCCTCTTCTCCTCCTCCTCCTCTTCCCTCTCGCGCACCCGTAGTCCCTCCACGAGCGCCGCGCCATCCATACCCGCCGCATCACCCCCGTCCGCCTCCTCGTCCCCAACCTGCTGCACTTTTTCCCCGACGTCTTCGCGGCAGCGCTCTTGGCCCCCTCTATCCTCTCCCTCACGAGCCGCGCGATGGCGTTATCCGTCCGCACGTTGAGGACCTCGAGCTTCTTCTCCAGGTCCCGCTTGAGGTCCCAGTTGGGCTTCTTGGGCTGCAGCTTAAACAGGTCGATGCCCCGGTTGGCCTCTTGCGCGTCTTCGGCGGCCTTGCGCTCGACCTCGTCCGCCACGTCGGCGGCGAGCTCCTCGAGCGTGGGCTGGTCGCCGTGGTCCGGGGCGCTTTCGAACCCGAGCTTGGGCCCGCGCGCCTCCGGGTCGTAGTTGCGGCCCGAGAGGTGCAGGCGCGCGACGTCGGCCTGGATCTCGGCCGGGGCGAGGGGGACCGCGTGTTCTCGGGGGTGGCGACCTCGTCGGTGGGCTGCTTGCGCTTGAGGGATTTGAGCTTGGCGAGGCGGGCTTTGCGGTCGTCGGAGGCGGCGCCGAGGCTGCTAAGGGGGAGGCATGGTGACTTTGACGGGACTGAGGTGGGCGTGGGATGGTCGAAAATTGGAGGAGAGACGTGCCAAAGAGAACGGCTAGGAGGGCGGCGGGAGGGAAAGAGAGAAATGAAGGAGAAGTTGGAAATGTGTCTAAAGTCTGTATGACGCGGTGCCCCGTATTAGATGAGAGATGCGAAAATCTTTGAAATTCGGAGACGTGGGATACTCCTTGGTAGATGGATGCACATGTGGAAGAGCTCCAATGCAAAATAATTCCCGTGCTCGGACATGGAATGTTCCTCCACCGTGTGCTAGAGCTAGCTTGACGCATGTGGCTGGACGGTGCTAAAGCCACTCTCCAGCCACATGTGGATCCCTCCAGCCAATGATGGGACGAACAATCAAATATTCTTCTTGAAGAAGAATCCCGAATTTCGGTCTCGACACTTCCATCTCCAACCAAAAGCTGCTCAAATCGCAATCATTTCTCTACACAAGGAGGGAAATTCTTGATTCTTTCCCCTCGTGCGGTCTAGGCTTTGAATCATCTTATTCCGCTCTATACCAGCCTCTGCCACACACTCTCTCTGTCTCTCCCTTGGGCGGAAGAAATGCCCTCGACCGCATCTCGATACTAGCCCACCGCGGCCATGCAGTCCTCGCGATATCTTCGCCACGGATCCGGGGTCCGCCTGCCGAGAGACCCCGTCTCCAGTTGCTCCATATCTCCAGCGATCGCTCGACCGAAAACACGATGCCCCTTTACGACTGAAACCACCTCTCGGTCAACTACCGGCCACCCCACGCACACCTCCGACGCCTCTTTCCTCTACTCTACGCAACAACCTCTCTCCTCGCCAGCGCAACTTCCCCGCGCGCAAACAAAGCAGAATACGTAATATCAGCTCAGACGCCGCTCCATCCTCCGTCCGAAAGGGCACCTCCGCTGACGCTCCGCCCGAAAGCGAGCCGTGCGACTTTCGATCCTTCCAGCAGCTTCACCGAAGCATATGGCACACCGTCGGCCCCAAGCGAGAGACCCACGGCATCGAGTCGAAAAGGCGCCTTAATGCCATCAGCAACAGCATCTCGAGCCGCGTCGTGGACGTGCCCCGAGCGCGGCGGGTGAAGCAGCTCGACGACGGATGCAACGAGTGGGGCTGGAAAAAGGGCTTGCACGATGTGCGGACGGGGAATTGGCATTATCCGTCAGGATCGGCCGCGCCGACGTCTTCCCTCATGGAGTGTCGAACGGCGGAGGAAGCCCGGGCTATCTGGGAGCAGCAGGACCCCGAGACCGCCAAGAAGACTTGGGCGTCGGTCATGCTAACCCTACTGGCGAGCCACCTACAACAGGCGTGCTTGTTTCTCCAAGCCTCTGTGGCGTACTCGAGCCCCTCTCTACACCTTGATCGATTCGATTACGTTTGTCTACTCGACCATTGAACCCCTTTCCGTTCCGGAGAAGGAGTGCGTGGCAGAATATCTCTGTGACACCATTATATACCTGCTCCGAGAGCACCCCGAGAGGCAAAATCTCCTACACAAGAAAGATATCTACAAGCTACAAAAGCAGCTCGCACCGAGGAAGCTAGCTGAGCTGTACGATGCTCTGCGCGATGCGCAAATCAATCTGAGCAGTTATACGTTGATGCACATTGCCTCCAAACTCTCCAAAGATCCGACTCTCAAGAGAATGGCTCTGGAGGTCATGGCTCTGGGACTCTCGCGAATCGAGGAAGATCCGGGCGCGGACCTCGAGCTTGTGCGGAGGAGGTGGGCGAGTGTTTTTACGACCATTCTGACCTCGAGTCGGCATTCGATGACGAACCAAGAAGTGGTCATCTCCCCGATGAGATCTGGGATTTCGCCATCAAAAACGGCATCACGCCCAACACTATCCAGCTCACCGCCCTAGTGCAGAGCCTCTGCGCCATGGGCCAGATCGAGGCGGCATGGCAGGCGTTTGACATGTTCCACCAGCGAGGCATGTCCGTAGATCTCAAGTTGTCGTCCACGCTCCTGCAGGGCTCCAAGCTCGCGGGCAGCGTCCCCCACATCGTTCGGGCCATCTCGTTGATCGCCGAGACGCAAAACATTGACGCGCGGGTCGGAAACAATATCCTCCATCTCGTGCTTTCTCTCGCGCTCTCGGACACGTCGCAGCCCTTCCTCACGTCGTTCCCGTTCATGCTGCGCATCTACTCGCGCATCTTCTCCCCTGAGCCGCTCAACGCCATCATCCCGGAGAAGCTGCGCGAGGTGGTGAGGTACGACGACGAGCTCGAGGACATGATACTGCACCCCGAGTTCACGTCGAGCCTGGATCTGCTGTTCCCACCCGAGGGCGTGACGTCGCTGGAGCCCACGCCGGTGACGCTAGAGATCATGGTGCTTTCGTGGATATGCAGTCTCGAGAAGGAGTTCAAGAGCCCCGCGCTCAACGCCTTTACGGGCACTACCGCAACATGCTCCAGGACCGCCACCCGGTGGCGGCGGAGATTGTCAAGACGCGAAACTCGGTGATTCACGACATGATTATCAAGGCCATGTCCAGCTCGCCCGCGCACCTACGCGCGGCACTCGAGGTTATATCGGACATGATTCGTGACTCGGCGGCTCATGATGCCGAGGGCAACGCCATCCCCTCCCCGCGCCCGTTGATGGCGCGGCCGCCGCTACTATTACCACCACTTCGCCCTCCACCAATGCCACAGCAGCCGCCACGACGGCGACAGCCTCTAGTGCTACCCCTTCAACCACTTCATCCAACGACGCCAATGGCAACGCCACATCGCCAGACCTGGCACAGCCCGTGCACCCACGCCCCAGCACATGGACGTGGAACATTTTGCTAGACGCGTGGATGCGCCACTACCGGCAGGACAACGTGGGGCGGATCGTCAGCCTGATGCGGCGGCACGGGGTAGAGCCTTCACTTGTAACCTGGAACACGATCCTGTCGCGGGCAGCGCAGGCACGCAACACCAGGCTGGCGGTGCGGTCGGCGCAAAAGATTCGCGAAGCCGGGTTCGAGCCCAACGAGTGGACGGTGAGGGCGTTTTCGCGGCTCGTGGAAAAGGAAATGTTCCTGAGCGAAATGGGCGAAGGCTCCGGAAGCGGCAAGGGCGGTCGTGGAAGGGCCCAAGGTCGTGGTCGGGGCCAGGAGGGAGAGGATCGCGACGACGAGTTTGATGGACGGGGCTTGGAGCTGGAGAAGGGGTTCGAGAATCTTGGGAGGTATACGGATGTGGAGAATAGTGAGGGGAGGTGGGGGAGGGATAGTGGACGGGGAGGCGGCTGTGAGGGTGAGGATGAGGGTGGGGGTGAGGGGGACTTGTACCAATAGAGTAAATATCAAATATATTATAGACGTGTACACATATGGAGGCTGTTGTCAAGTGGCTTGCGTGATGGGTTGTTTGTGGCTGGCTTGGTGAATGTTGTGAAAAGGCTAGAGCTTATACCCGACGTCGTGCTTCGGGGTTATTCATCTTCTGGCGAGGGAGAACTCAACGGACAGATGTGTCTTGACCTTTTCTTACAGTATACCGTGATGAACTAGTGAAACGCCGAGCCAGAGACCTTCTCACATACATAACTCGATTTCTTCATTGCAACTGGTCTTTCTCTTCGAACAGTCCGAAAGTCTGCTCTCTATCTTTATATATATGTTTGCCGAATAACACCATCATCAACGAGCACAAATATAAACCTCCCCCGATCTTCGCTCCATTTGCACACTGACGAGCATCGTTCATTTTGATTCTTCTCTGATTTGTTCCTGAATCAATTTCCCAAAATAAAATTATAGAAGAAGAGCATGGACACCGAAATATCTTTTATCGTCACCTCAACAATAAATCTTGTGTACGTATATTCATTGTCGCGCATCGCCACTTTTTCGGGCAGCTAGCTAGCGATTCTTAACCCATAAATTATATGCAATATATCAAGGATTATTGTTCTTTCTTGTCAAAACTATTTCACATTTACTCTCTGCTTCAAGGTCAAGTTGCTGCTGGAACAGTTGGCTTGATCCTGTCCGCCCGATCCAACCGGCAGCACGGGCAATCGGGGGTATTCAATTAAACGGCCTACGATGTGACGACCTCTCATCTCTCACCACAACGCTCTCAAAACGATTCATCTGCTCACTACGCGCCACGCCGAATTACGCCCGCCTCCTATCTACCCTCTGACTTGGAATTCATAATATGAGGAAATACAGGCAGATCATTCCACTCTCAGCACTTTACGAAAGGGGAAGATAGAACCGACAAAAAGATGATCTGCCAGCTCCAAGCGCGGACTGTGTCGCGCGGACTCCGGACCGGCCAGTTCCGCACGCCCCGTCGCGCGTACTCGTCCCGGCCCCCATCGGATCCTCTACGCATCCTATTTTGCGGTTCGGATGAGTTTAGTTGCGCGTCTCTGCGGGCGCTAGATGAGGAGAGATTGAGCGGGAGCGGACTAATCCAGTCGATTGATGTGGTGGTGAGGCCGGGCAAGGGCACTGGGAGGGGATATAAAACAATACGGGAAGGTCAGTTTCCTCTCTCTCTCTCTATTTTCCCCATCTCCTTTTACGTTCCTCTTTTGGATTTTGGTTGTCTGGGTAGCCGAGAATGGGGAATTCATTGATGGCCCTTTTCCATCAGGGGCCAGAACAACCGTTTTCATGCTATAGGAGTAGCTGCTGATAGAGTGAGCAGTTCCCCTTAAGCTCAATGCCGAGAGGCTGGGCTTGCCCATCCATGAGAGAGATACGTTTAGGGGCTTCGAGGTATGTGAATTCCGGCCCACTTCCTCCTCCCGAAACTGGTGCGGGGTTCTTCAAAATCGACTAACCGCTCTAGCCTCCAAACTGGATTAACCTCGTTATCGCGGTGTCCTTCGGGCTCTTCGTGCCACCAAGGATATTACGAATGGCCAAGTACGGAGGCCTAAATCTCCATCCGTCATACCTACCCGAGTATGTATCACTTGTCTTCCTCGGTGATGAAATGCGGTTCTGAACGCACCCGCTGCTGTTCCATGTGCAGGAATCGCGATTTTCTCCCTACGGAGTCTTCTTCGCTTTCGCTAACCTGTCTATAAAAGTCTACGTGGCCCGGCCCCTCTCCACCACTCCCTCCTCGAGAGACGGTCGCACATCGGCATCACCCTGCAAACCCTGGACGAACACAAGTTTGACCACGGCCTCATCCTCGCGCAGACGCCCCGACCGGGCATTTCCATTCTGCCAGCCTGCACCGTGCCGGAGCTAACGCACCTCGTCACCGATCCTGCGGCGCGCCTTCTCCTGGACGGGCTACGGCACGGCGTCCACGTTCCGCCGCTCGCCGATGTGCGACAGGCTACTACTGACACGGCGTCGGTCCTGCGGCACGCACCCAAGGTGACCAAGGAGGACAAGAGGGTGAACCTCGCTGAGTGGACGGCGGAGGATGCGGTCACGAGGCTGAGGGTCCTGGGCCCGCTTTGGATGGAGGTGGTGGGCGGGAAGAAGGGCAAGCTCGAGAGGGTGATTTTGCAAGATGGCGAAGTGGTGGCGGAGGGGAGAGGTGAGGGTAGTGTCGAGCGAGAGGTCCTGTTAGCGCAAGCGGCTCAGGAACCGAGGTCGGAGGGGCGCGAGACAGTGGCAATGCGGTATCGTGAAGAAGGAGATGGTGCCATTCTTCTCACGTTTCCTCGTGGAGGCCATCTTCGGGTGAAACAAATCGTGGTCGGAGGCAAGGCAGCGCAGGAAGCCGCCAAAGCTTTGGCATCCCTTTGCCGCTTGACCTGAGTCTACGAAGGAAAGAAAAAGAGAGGAAAAGAGAGGCTGGGCGGAGACGACGTATGCATTTGCGTCGCCCTCCGCCAACGTCTCAGGTAATGTAATCATATCTATTGTACGAGTATGTATGTAGTATCCATGGATGTATGTAGTGGGTGGTGGTATTGGACTGCGCTACCCTTGGAATAACGAGGTGGATGCACGCCAGAGCTACGAAAGGATATTCTCCATCTGACTTCCTCTTCTGCGACACCGGCGGCTTCACTTGCCAATACTTGTTTCTCCTACTCCCTGTTAGAACGCGCGTGGCGAAAACTTCTGTTTGACCCTGTTCTTTATAACCATGACAAGACAGCGGGAGTAGTGCTGGGTGAGGGTTAAGAGCGGCCGCTAGACTCCGCTTCGCAAAAGTAGCTGCGACATGTATTCTGAGACCTAAAAACATGCCAACGTCGCCTAATTGATGACACGGCGCTTGCGTACTTCGGCGTCCGCGTGATTTGAACCAGCTGCCTCGTGGTTTGGGGGCAAGACATTGACTGACCCAAGTTGGAGAAACAGCTTCTTCAAATCCCATCCACCATTTTTCTACGCGCGTTCCATTTAGGGGTGCAAACCTTGGCAAATGAAATCGCTCACCCATTCTCTTTTGTCTGCGAGAGGGAAAGGGTACAGAAAGATGTGAAAGAGGGACGTCTTCCTCTAGTACTGCCGACGCGTGCTTTGAATGTGGATAAAGAGTCTATTCCTAGAGAGTAAAAAAGGATGAACAAGGTTATTCTTCCAATTTTCGTCGTTCCCTGTATTGTCCCAGTCAGTGCCACTCGACTTATTCGAAAAGGGCTACAGATCGGCGCCTAGTGCGGCCAGGCCCGGTGATCGCGCTCGTCATCCTATGAAGGTGCTGACTTTCGATATCCTCGAAAAACTGCTCAAGATCGATCAACATCAATACTTGCAGTAATGTTCGAATTCTTTCTTTTTCAAGGGGGTTCGGGAAGAGACCGTGGCATTGGCGATCTGCTCCCCCATCCCAGTATTTTATACCGCCCCGGGTTCAACCGTCCAATCCGCGGCGATCTGAATGGCACTTCATCTTCAGCCCCCAGATCGGCTGGGGATACTTGAGCGCACTGCCAGCCAGTCTTTTCCAATTATTTTGATCTGATTGTGATAACCCATCGAGCAGGCAAGGGTTCCTGCATCGGGACTGGGTGCCATCGTTTTGGCCCTGAGCGTTTGCCGGTCAATGATGACATTTGCACGGCACCTGGCTGGACACTGACCTCTTGCTTCAGGTGGTGCTGTGAAAGATCAGACCAAATCGGGAGTGGTCAGCGTGGGCTCCAAGACTCCTCAATGAGGGATGATGACCGCTTTTCACCGCTGCCAAGGTCGAACGGAGAGGGCCTTGCTTCGTGAAGCGTTTTCTGAAATTCGGGCGCCATGAGCGCTGGAGGGTAAAGTTGATTAAATCGCCTTGACGCTATCAGGACATGGCCCTCTGGAATGTCGCAAAGGACATACAAATGACAGGCGCGACTGACGCAAATGCGCCGCCGAGATGATATCAACTACACTGACAAGCTTGCCTCTCGGTAGTAGACCATAAGGTTTACCAGGTCCACCCGTCATCATCTACCACCATCTGGTGGCTTGGGTAGCAGTGGATCATCCCGCGCGTGGCCGGGCTCTTTCGAGGTTGTTGCGAGTCCAAGTCCAGAGGGTTCGGAGAGACGAGGAAAAAGAAAAAAGAAAAAAAGAAAAAAGAAAAGTATTATTATTAGACGTGAACTCGAGGATAGGGAGGGGTGGGGCGCGCTTCACCAAATCAATATTCCTAGCCTGATTACCCCTGTCCCTGTCATCTCGCTGCGATTTGCTCCACTCTTTCAATAGTTTGACAGCCACGGAAAGATAGCGTGAATACTTGGACGCCAGGGCCACGCAAGGCTCACAAAGGCCAATTTCTGGATAGCCCGCCGAATCTTCCCCAGGCCCCCGGAACAGGACATCACGCTCTGCGATACCATGCTTGTCGACCATGTGCCAGCACACGCGGGAAAGGCAATGCCCGAATACCCAGCATACTCATCGACAAAAGATGAATGAGTAGCAACATCTCTACAAGTATTCATCGCCATGAGATGGTTGTGGTATACTGCTTCGAGCAGAATTATACTTGTCGGCTTGAAATGACCAGGGAGACATTAATAATCGAGGCTTTCTTGAGGTCATCAAGGGCTTGGCTCAATCGCTCTCCACCTCTTCCTTGCTTCCACGAGTGGACTCGCCAACCGCGTATCGAAGGAGTTAAAAGGATCCGTTGCACCTACAAGTAGGTAGTACAAGTACGAAGCAGGCGTTCGACGCGCAATTTCCTTGCGCTCGACGTCGAAAGCTTATTTGCGGGAATTTCTCCACGAGTGAATAAGATAAGGTAAGCGGAGCCCTCCCGTGGGCGAAGGGAAAGGGAGAGATCAGACACAACATTGAGTATTGAACGGACTGAATACGGAGGGCATGATAATACCATGATTGATCATTCCTCATTGAGGTTTTCACCCTTCGCCTCTACTGTACCGAACGCACGGTGAAAATTAGAAAAGAAAGGGAAAGAAAGTGAAGAGAGCCTTCATCAGGTCAAGAATGATCCTTTTGGTCGTCACGGATAGGACGGAAAAAGCATCACGACTGGACGCTTGGGGCACTTGCGCCCGTTCCTGGGTTGAGGAAGCGGGTCACTTTCAAAAGGGAGGGTTAAAGCTACGATACATTGGAAGTACAGTATGTACAATGAAAAGCCTGGGGATAGGGCTACGATCCTGAGTCATTCGGAATCCATCAATACTACACTAGAATACGGCATATCGCTTCTGTCGACTGGAATGTGCGAAAGATGCACTGGGCTGGAGAACTTGAGGCCCGTGGAAATTTGATGCAGGCCCGGCTATTGCTTGTATCTTCAACGCTTTACACTACAATGGATCAATAATGGATCCATCTGGTCGAGGGAAGGACTGCCTCGGTAGAGGAGCCCACATCGCTAGCGAAGGAAAGGGCGATTTGAAGCAGCAAAGAAAGGAGAAAACGGAAGGAGACAACGAAAGGAGAAAGGCGGGGCGCCAGGAAAAGGGAAGCGCGATCGAGCTCCGATGTTGGGAAGCCAAAGGGGCAACAAGCCATCATCAAAATATCGAGAAGACAGAACAAGTCAAAACCATTGTGTACCTGAATCGCGCTCGGGGTGGCGGTGTCGCGCCCCCTTCTTCGCCCGAGCTGGTTGCCCCTCCTTGTGCCTTGCATAGGCCGCTGTTGGTTAGTGAGAGCGTTCAATGCAGGTACTCCATCAAAGATCAATCTAAGTCTAGAACAGACATTTGACCCTAACCCCCAAGCGACCAAGACTCCAGGCACAAACCCCACTTCTTTCCCCAGCACACATTGATTCGTTCCTACGAAGGATTACCATTACCACCCCTTGCGTCAACTGTCCGTCGCGAGATGCCGCCTTTTCTTTGGTTCCTGGTCGATGAAGCTGCCCGTTTCTTAGTGTGCGGCTGTGGTTCAGCGTCGCCAGTGACAGTCGCCAGTGACAATCGCCAGTGACATCCCGCTGATTCTCCTTTGGCTCTCGGCGGGCTCTCCAGGCCAGCTACGAAGACGAGGAGATGAAAGTGCCATTGTCATGACTGCTCCTGGACCACTGGGTCTTGAGCTGCCATGGGGGAGGTATCAATCGCATGATGCTATGCTGACGGGGGAAATGAAGTGAGGGGTGGCGCGGCGAGATTGAACGCCGGTCGAGTTGACTTGGGCGTCACCACACTCGCCCACAAGTCGACCGAGAGAGCCAGCCCCTCCGCGAAGCCTGTGGTCATGTTATATGGGGGTCCTTGACTTCGAGTTTGGTTTGGCCAATGCATGCCTGGAGGGTGACAATTCAGAATCCTGCTGCATCCTCTCCAGATCCTGGCCACTAGAGGCTCGTGTAAGTGAATCCTCCTCACCAGGCAGAAGCAGCCAAAATGAGCGCCCAAGAGAGGTACGGACTTGTAGTTGTCGAGCAGGGGGTGACGGCCCGCAAACACGTGTATCCGCGAAAAGGAGTGCAAGGGCAAAGGAAACCGAAGATTCGACGGGCTATCGCGAACAATGGAGGATAGTGGCATATTATCGTCTACTTCACCATCACATTGGGCCAGTGGCGCCTAGATCGAATTGAGCAAGATTTTTCGAGCCGCAATTTATTCATTGCGTCAATCATTTTTGAAGCTGAATCGACCAGGGGCTCGAGAATGGCTTCTGTGCTGCAGGGAAGGGCGGCGGCGGCGAGCACCAATACCCGAGGAACGGGTAATACTTGTACAAGAGAAGAGAAGAGCCAAGATATCCCCTCTCGCGGCAAGCCTGGGCTAGCAACGTGCGCTATACCAATACCATCTCTCCAGCTACCTACTTGTAGAAGAACAGCCCTTCCCACCAGGCTGGGGCGCCAAGAAATTAACCCCTGAGAGGGCTAGAAATAACGCCAAATCAGGAAAAGAAAAAGAAAAGAAAAGGAAGGGGCAAAGTAATAAAATAGTGAGAGAGAAAGGGGACTGCAAACAACGCCTGTGTTCAGGTCAATGCAGACAGGGAGGGACGGAAATGGCAAAGCCTGTTGGCGCTGTCCAACGAATTAATTCTATTGGAAGCTTTTTTGGCCCACCAGACACCCCGGTCTTCGCCAACAATGGACGCACGCAAGGTACGAGGTACGCAAGGTACGCAAGGAGGTGCGCAGGGTAATAATACGCAGTGATACTTGGACTTGAGCCTGCCGATGCGAGCAAACGGTCAAGCGCCGATGTCCCGGCAGCCAAGGCGGAGCAGGTCAAGGAGAGTACCCCTGCCTATACATCTTGGACGACAGACTATTGACAATTCCTCGGCCTGCTTGTAATTGCGGGTGGCTCCCCTCAGCCTAGCATTTCGTCGCCCTTTCGGAAAGAAAGGCATCCTCCGCGCGTGGTGATAGGACGGGGCCAGGCGCTCCAGACCAAGGTGCACCCCTTCTTGGGCTGTGGTTGCATGCTTCCTGCTCCCCTCGGACACAGACATTGAACACGCACACAAGCACATCCCCCATAAAGCGTGAAGCAGCCATGTTTGCCCATCGTCTTAAAAGGGTTCACCACCCACCGTCGACGCTCGACGTCCGTCCCTTCCTTTTCCCCCAAGCTGTCCAGTTGCCAAGACATATCTCCTTCAGCCCTATCCCCAAGAGTCTCTTTTTGACTCGTCCATTGACGTGTGCTAACGTCACCTACACTCGTTTACAACCGAACCGACTAACCGCAAGTCGTTCACTTAATCACATTCGCTTTCACATTCGCTTCTTTCGCCGCAATGTCTCCCTCGCTTCGAGCTATCACCACGCTGGCCCTGGCCGGTGCCGCCCAGGCTACTACCACCTGGTCCCTCAAGGATGAATACAAGGGTGCCGGATTCTTCGACAAGTTCAACTTCTATACCGTCAGCCCTGACCCGAACTGGAGCTACGTCCAGTACAGGAACCAGACCGATGCCAAGACCTTGGGCTTGATCGGCCAGACTGGCGAGGATGTCTTCATCCGAGCTGACCATACCAACAAGGGCGACGCTGTCGGCCGAAACTCCATCCGCCTTGAGTCCAAGGAGACTTATACCCGCGCCCTCATCATTGCCCGCTTCTCCAAGCTGCCTAAGCCCGTCTGCGGTTCCTGGCCCGCCTTGTAAGTCATGTCCAAGAGGGTTAACCCTTGTTACTTGCCGCCTCCTTTGGAGGCCCATCCTGAGTTTTGTCGCTTATACACGCGTGAATATAGTTGGACCTATGGTGAGCCGTGGCCCAACGTCGGTGAGATCGATATCATGGAGACCTGGCATGACGGCACCGTGAGCAACTCCGTCATGCACACTGGTGACTCCTCCGTGTACGGTAACTGCAAGCTCGAGAGCACTGGCATCCGCGGCGGTGCTGGCTCCGTGACGACCAGCAACTGCGACAACCTCTACGCTGACTACGTTACCCAGTGGCCCAACCAGGGCTGCAGTGTCAAGGACACCGACGGCCCGTACGGTACCGCCAGCCGCGCCGGTACCTACGCCGTTGAGTGGACTTCGGAGGCCATCAAGGTCTACTCCTTCAAGGCCGGTAGCGAGCCCGCCAACATTGGCAGCAGCAATCCCGATACCTCGTCGTGGGGTCTTCCCACCATGAGGGTCAGCAACGCCAACTGCAACATTGACCGCCACTTTGCCGACCAGAAGATTGTCCTCAACATGGCGTTCTGCGGTATCCCCGTCCAGGAGAACGAGTTCTGGGTCAACCAGTCCAAGTGCAACACCAAGACCAACTACGCCACCTGCGTCGACTACGTCAAGAACGAGCCCCAGGACTTTGCGGATGTCAGCTTCCAGATCAAGGATATCCGCGTCTTCACCCAGACCACCGTTTCCACCACCACTACCTCGTCTACCAGCACCTCGTCCACTTCCACTTCGTCTACTTCTACTTCGTCCACCAGCACCACGGAAACTAGCACTGAGGTGACTGATGAGCCTACTGCCACCGAGACCACTGCGGAGCCCACTGCCACTGACGGTACTGCGGAGCCCACTGCCACCGATGTCACCGAGGAGCCTACCGCTACTCATGGTACCGAGGAACCCACTGCTACCGACGGTACTGAGGAGCCCACCGCTACTGATGGTACCAACGAGCCCACCGCTACCGATGGAACCAACGAGCCCACTGCCACTGATGGTACCGAGGAGCCTACCGCCACTGATGGTACCGAGGAGCCCACTGCTACTGACGGCACTGAGGAACCCACTGCCACTGATGGCACCGAGGAGCCTACCGCTACCGACGGTACTGAGGAACCCACTGCTACTGATGGTACCGAGGAGCCTACCGCCACTGATGGCACCGAGGAGCCCACTGCTACTGACGGCACTGAGGAACCCACTGCCACTGATGGCACCGAGGAGCCTACCGCTACCGACGGTACTGAGGAACCCACTGCTACTGATGGTACCGAGGAGCCTACCGCCACTGATGGCACCGAGGAGCCTACTGCTACCGACGGTACTGAGGAGCCTACCGCTACTGACGGCACTGAGGAACCCACTGCTACTGACGGCACCGAAGAGCCCACCGCTACTGATGGTACCGAGGAGCCTACCGCTACTGACGGTACTGAGGAGCCTACTGCCACCGATGGCACTGAGGAACCCACTGCTACTGATGGCACCGAAGAACCCACCTGCACTGACGACACCGAGGAGCCAACCGAGACCGATGATGGCCTCGTCACCTCTACTGTCTCCACCACTATTGTCGAGACCGTCACCGCCTGCCCCGAGACCGTGACTAACTGCCCCATCGGTGCCGTTGTCACCCGCACCGTCGCTGCCTACACCACCGTCTGCCCCGCCGAGGATGTCACCTCGGCCCCCGTTACCACTCTCGAGACCGTCAGCCGGGACGGCAGGACCACCATTACCTCCCACATCACCACCATCCGCACCGTGACCCTCTGCCCTCCCATCGCCACCGACTGCACTCCTGGCGATGTTGTCACCGAGGTTGTAGCGACCACCAGCGTCTGCGATGATGACGAGGTCCCTGCCGTTACTGCTACTCCCAAGCCTAGCAGCCCTGTTGGCAAGACCAACAGCACCTCTCCTGTTGCTCCTTGCAACGGTGATGACTGCTCTAACCCCGTCGTCATCAGCGGCGCCGTCAAGGCCGGTATGAGCGTTGGTCTTGCCGCCCTCGTTGCTTTCTTTGCTCTTTAAGCGCGCCATGGATTTGTGGCAAGCACAAAAGCAGGGGTTGTAGCATGGGAAGGTTGTTGGTTTCTTTTATTTTTAATGTTGTTCCGGGGTTTCACTCTTCTTCACGGGGCGTCTTTAGCATGCGTGTTTGGTTATAGACAAGTGAAGAGTGGCGTCGGAGCGAGGATCTAGGGACATGGATTCTCCTGTTCCCGCCTCCCCTCCGTCGCCTGGCTTTAGATTTCAGATGGATAACGTCGGATATTCTTGTAATGCGAGATGCGTTTGTGGCGAAACTGCCCCTTTTTACCAACTTATTACTATACACTTATTCTTTCCAGCCTTATACCTCCTTGTCTTCTCTATCGCTTATCTAGGGATACACTTTTCGGATCGGTTTACACCAACGACGGGGCCACGTCTTTTCCTTTTTATCTTTTCGGCATTATGGGGTCACAGATATTGCTCCCAGTAGTCTAATGAAATACAAATTTTCACGGTTCATCTCTTTTGCAGACCCTGTAATTATCCTCCAACCCACTGCTTTTTAATGGTGATTGTATTAAGTAGTTTTGCATCTATGGATCCTTGGCTTGGGAAACTGCATGGCCCCCTTTCTATGGAAAGGGGTTGGGATGGTTGAATTGTGTCCCGGCGCTCCAGGACCTGGTGCTCGTGCAGTCTCCTCTGTAATGCTCGTAAAAATATACTGGAACTCGTATAACGACGGTTCGCTCGTATGCCTTGAGAAAAATGACAGCTCCCTGCGGGGAGGGCCCTGCGCAATTCCCTCGTAATAGTCACTGGTGAATCCTTTCGCCCTCCTCGTATCTTCTTGTCCCATGCGTGCTAGTCTATCCCTACCTCTCAGGGGACTCTGTCGTAAGATTAGAAGCGGGCGTGTTCCGAAGGCATATCCCCGTGTGGACCTTGAGGGGTGATGGGCGGTAGCGAACGGGGCGAGCGAGAGAGTTTGGATATGAGCTAGAAGACACCGGGCTGGGGAAAAAGAATAAAAATAAATTACTATCCCTTTTCTCCTCCCTTGCGTCTTGCGAGTTCGAGCCCTTTTTCTATGGTAAGATGGATCGGCTAGTGTGTGTGTATAGATCCTTTCATCCAAAAAAGATAACGTGAAGAAGGAAATGCTATATGTAGCTCTAGACCACGTGTAACGCGCCGCAACTACTTCGTGACATGAGACTAGAGTCCGGAAAAAAAAGGGATTGAAGAGAAATATATTAGAGAAGAAATAGAAGAATCTATGGAGCGTACGACTGAACGCAGACTCTGGTTCCCCTACCCACGTGGTATAACGTCCCGAACTACTGGAGAAGCAGCGCCTCTTCGCTGAGCACGCCAAACAGCCCCTCCACCTCCTTGAGCACCTTGCCCAATTCGTCCGCCACCTGCGAGGTAAGTAGCGTATAGATATACAGCAGCGAAAAGTCCCGCTCCTTGACAATGGCTAGGTCGCTCGCGTCCACCGTGGAATCGAACGTGAAACCCATACCCTCCCGGACGGATGCGCCGTACGAGGCGCCCGATCGGCCGCGGCTGGTGCTACGCTCCGCGTAAGGCGACGAGATGCGTCTCCGCCAACTTACGGGGACTGGCTCAGGCGATTAGGGCTGACGAGGCGGTGACGATGGCGGTCGGCGTCGGGCTCGGCCGAGGTGCCGGACTCCTCTTTGGCGATTCCGTCACCCCCATCGCCACGGGGTTGGGGTGGTCGTCGCCGGGGATGGTGGTCCCGGGGTGCCGATATCGACGGCGGTGCTGGTGCCATGGGAGAGCCCTAGGTCGCCCCCGTCGGGGTTTAGGCGGGCGTCTTGTTCCCGCTCAATCATCTCTGCCTGCTGCTTCCTGATCTGATGCATTTTGCTCAGGAGCCTGTCCTTTACGCCGATGATGCTGGGGATGGCGTCTGTGAGGGGGTACTCTAGCATGACGGAGCTGGCGATGACCTGGCACACGTGGCAGATGCGATCGCAGAGGATGGCGCGTTCGGGCGCCGTGAAGCGTAGGAGAGCGCGTTCACCGGGGCTTAAGTGGGCGCGGCGCATCGTGGCGAGATTCATGGCGTGGAAGCCGTCGAGAATGCGGTTGGTGGATTGCATGATACGGGCGTAGGGGTCCTTGGGGAAGGGACCGCGCAAGGAAAACTCGGACTGCGCTGCATTGCGGAGGCCGTCGAGCTTTTGCGCTATAGTTGAGTGAAGGCCGAGATTAGCGGAAAATATTCTTAAGAGAAAAAGGGAAGGGAAGTGAAAAGAAAACGTGCGGTAAGGGGGATTAAGGAGGGGTTATTCTTACAATATCGTCGCAGGGCAGCCTGCTCACCCGTTCTGAGGTAACCAGTCGGGTTGTCTCCGCCCCTAAGCAGCACCGCCAGCGGCCCTCTCTTCCAAATCAGACCAAGCTGGAGGTACAGCACCGACACGCCCTCCCTAAACTTCTTACGCCCGGAAAGCGGCCAGATGATGCGGCAGACGATGAGGCCCCAGACGATACCGAGGGTCACCGCGATGAACCGGTGGAAGCAAATGTCAAAGATGAGGGGTCGCGAGTCCTCGTCGAGGTCGTCCTGGTCGTCGTCGTAGAGCTCGCGGGCGAGGCTAAAGGCGTACAGGACCGAGACATTCCACGTGAGCAGGGTCATGCGGGCGAGCTGGCCGCTCTTTGTTTCGAAGACGAGGTAAAGTTGTACAGGCTCATGAGCCAGCAGAAGAAGGCGAGGAGCCAGGCGTCCCCGTCGCTCACGATCCAGCCCGTGAGGGCGCAGATGGCGCCGATAATCGTGCCGCGGAAGCGCGCGAGGCTGGTGGTGTTGCTAGCGCCCACCGTCGTGGCGATGACAATCATGTAGGACAGTAGGCCCCATTCGCCTCGCCACTGCTTATATGTCGGACGTGTGGTGGGAATAAAGGCGAAGGCCGCCCACGCGATAGCGCCGATGCCGACCTTGATGCCAAAAAGAACTACCCCAAAAACATGTTAGCTTGGCCGCCTTTTTCTCTCGTGACTTTTGGAATGGTATATGGGGAAAGGAGAATAAGTTGTAAACGTACTATCATCGCGGGTAAGCCAACGTAGTAGGCCCATCCAGGTTTTGGCCACCTTCCTAGCCCACTCGCTCACGTCTCCCGCCGCGTCCCAGTTGTAATTGTCCCTCCGACGCAGCAGCTCATCGGGGATACCCTGAGGCATCGCCGACTTCCTTAGGGGCCTGACGACGCGGCGGTGCGGCTCCAGCAGCGAATCGCCCTCGATGTCGTCCATGGCAATCGCGTCGCCCTTTCGCGAAGGCCACACATACCTCCAGAAGCGCAGCCAGTTCCAGCTGCGAAAGTTGGCGTCGACGACGAACTTGAAGTCGTCAATGGCATCGAGGTAGGCGGAAATTTCGTGGGCTACGGACTGCAAGCTGTAGCTGAAGTGGCTGCACGCGGCGGCTACTTCCTCGATATCGGCTTGGACGTCCTCGGACCGCGCCTTTTCGAGTTCGATGCTATCGTAGAGGTCCTGCAGCGAGCTGGTTCGGGCCTGGTCGTAGAGGCTCAAGGCCTCGGCTAAGCTGGACTTGAAGTTGACATTGACGAGGATCTCGAATCCGCCCCGGGGCGCGGGGAGAAGGGGGCTGGCGCAGAATCTCGGAGAGCGTGTAGGCGAGGGATTTCATAGAAGGCCCTAGCCTCGTGATGAAGATTTCAAAGATCTCGGACGGCACGCGGAAACCCGTCACGGACACCGAGTCGGCGTAGACGGGCTCGGGCGACATGACGAGCTCGTCGTCGATCTCGACTGTCTCGGAAATGGAGTCGAGTGAGGCCATGTTCTCGCGCGTTTGGCGGAGGAAACTGGACACGGCGCGGGTGATAGTGGGCCTCCGGGCGGCGCTCGATATCGGCGACAGAGCCCGGTTGGGTGGGTCGGCGTTGGACTCCTTGAGAAGCACAAACTGGGCGTCGCAGGCGGACCTCAGACCTCCAACGGCCTGGGAGAGCTTGTCGATGCTGGCGACGATGGCTTTGGCGGCAAAGTATTGCTTCTCGCGGCCGAGGAAGTAGTATTCGAATTTAGACTCGCGGAGGGTGCTGCTAATGGTGTCGTGGGAGGAGGTGAGCTGGGCGAGTGTGTTGGCGTAGCCGGTCGAATGGAGCTCCTCCTCCGACCCATTTAGAAAACCGCGCGTGATGGCGGCGATCTGCTCGCCGAGACTGACGACGCCGGTGGACATGGCTCTCCGCAGGCCGCGGCGCGCAGAGGAGCGCCAGACGAGCATGTTCACGGCAGACGTGATGGTGATGCCTAGGAGCAACATCTTGAGGACCTGTTCGTTCTTGGCCGTGGAGAACTGCCCGCCGTAGACAACCTCCTCCTTGGTGATGGGCGTGATGATGGCGATCGAGGCCAGGGTACAGGCGACGTTGACCAGGGGCCGGCTAAACTTTGCTTCACCCAGCCCACGAAGCCGAGGCCTCCTCCGATGAAGACGATGAGAACGACGAAACGCGCTAGCGCAACCATGCCGAGCTTCGTCGAGAGGATAAGCGAAGTCGCCATGGAGGCAAAGGACACGACCTGGGCGAACAGGACGGCGGCGATGGAGATCAAGATGGCTTCGAGCATGGACCCGACGGTCCGGGCCGGGTGAAAGTAGACGGTGATGGTGGCAACGATGTGCTTGCCATCGAGGCGGCCGAGGAAATCGGCAAAGGGTTCCCAGAAGGTGGCGGTCGTGCCCAGCACGTACGCGAGCGAGCATTTGAGGACGGCCTTGCCGTTGGGGGAGCGGAGCCAGGCCCAGAGGAGGGCGCCCAAGGACACGACATTATAGACGAGGGCCTCGAAGCGGCGGCGCAGCGGCACGGATTCGGTCGTGAAGACGGAGTGGAAGGAATTAGTACGCGTGTGGTTGTTGGATACGGGGAGGAGCGGAGGGTTAAATTTCGTCGCGTCCGCTGGCCTGTGCTGGGTATGATGTAGGTGCCGGTTTGTAACCTCTATTTGCAAAGAAAAAGAAAACACAGCGGTAAATAGTTAGCCAAGCTCACGTTAAGGTGGTGGGATGCTTGATGCCGTGATGTCACGAGCAAAGCAAGCAAGGAGGGTGGGAGGGGGATGTTGCGTACTCCTCTCCGCGAGGGCCGTCGTGGCACCCACGAGGTGACCGCGGGAGTATCGGAGGTCATTCCGAGGCGAGGCAGGGGCCGGGTCGTACGGCGGCGTTGGTACTGAGAAACGGAGAATGCGCAAGGGCACCCGGCATCACAGAGGGAATGCTTGCTGCTTCAAGGTGGCGGAAGGCGACACTACACAGCTATACATGATTCCATCAAGCTTGCGCTTTCCAACAGCAGCGATCAAAAAACGCCGGATAGTGCGGCGGCCTGGTCAAGAGAGGCCCGCGGCCAATTGGGAGCAGAAGAGAAAACTCGGAGCCCCTCGAGTTGTCAAGCGTCGGAATAGCGCGTAGGATCGAGACGAAGGTCGAGGTCGTAACGGAACGAGTTCGAATTGAATTAATTTTCGATCGAGGGAGGTTGCGAGGGAGGGGGAAATGGTTGCTAGTGGAAAGGTCGGTTTAGCTCCGAGCAATTCGTGGGGAGCTAAGGATGGTTTATACTGTTGCCTTGTCCGCGCTGCTGCTTGGTGATGCAAGCGACTTTGGGGGTTGGAGGATTAGAGTTAGGCGAGGTTTGGGACGCTGATTTGATCAATTGATGCCAAATTCGGCGTCGATCTCTTGGCAAGCTCCGATCTCCATGTCCGTCACAGCAATCTTTCCAGAGTTTTAAACTTCTAGCGTTCCACACTGGAATCCAGGTAAATAAGGGAAGGATATTAGAGAGAATAGATAAAACAAGATTTTTGGATACATGTATCATTCTGTCAACCATCCTCTCGCCTTTTGAATCAATATCGGCATCGCGTCTTCTTCCTCTGCTCAATCAATGGGTTCAATGCTCTCGCCCACGTTTGCCCCACCAGCTCGATACAGTGCAAGGTGGTGCATTTCTTTGCATCGAGCGCCCCGCTAACTCCGATATTACTTGAAGTGCCAGGCAAAATTGATGTTGTCACGTGCAGCAACTGGGTAAGTTCAAGTTGATGACTTCAAAGTTCCAGCTGGGAGGACCTGGCGAAAAGCTTCGGCAGCGCGCGGAACTTTGATATACCAAAGTTTCTCCCTTTCCCTTGCGGACCGGGAAAAGAGCGAATCAAAGGCCAGGTTTGAAACATGACCTCGTAAGCGAAAGATGGGCGAGCAGCAGTATCAAGAAGTCGAGGGGGAAAAAAGCCGCATCTCGTGAGCTATCCGTTCTCGAGTGGCTTCACACCTCCTCAAACCGCTGCTAGATAGGATGGTGCACCCTCGACCTTTTCAGTCCTACCATTGAATTCAATGGGCCCTCCAAATTACAGGGAGAAGCGGGTTATCCGAAATCATGTCGCAACGGCTTCGGACCCTGCTGTCTCGTGGACGAAGAGAGAAGGTCGACTCTAGGAACTGCGGTGGGAATAAGCATTATGGGTGCTCTCTTGCTGGCTGAGAAACATAGCACCCTATGATGAGCAGAAGCTGCAGGTATACCTCTTCCTTTGTGCGTGCTTTTTCCCGGCCGTCTCCCCCGTTCAGGCAGCTAGAGGGTCTGCACATTTGCGTCATCGAAGCTACGAGCCCACTGCATACATCAACTATTACCTTTACCCTAGCCTAGAAATCCACTATTCAACCACGCTTCAACTTGCTCATGCTGCCGTTTGCTGGTTCTTTACTCCCCTTTCAAGCATCCCGGCCGGGATGCTGGATGATCCGGTCCCGGTGTTATTTAGCATGGAAAGAATGGAAAGTATGGAAAGGGGGCGCGGGGAAAACCGCACAATCTGACACACTCATCCTTTGCCAGACCACCCTGCGGGATCCTGGTTCCAAGGGATCCCACCGTGAGGAACAGGCCACCCCCAGCAGAAAAAAACAGACCAACCCCATGAGTCCAAATGCCCACAGACATCCTATCATGCCTGACATCTCTTGTGCGCGCGCGTCTTGGCACCAAACCCAACGCCTCCGACTTTGAAAAGACGTCGCCCTCAACACCAGTCGTCCAAGCCCAAGTAAAAATAGAACGCTTAGTTTGGTCATCTGAGACAAGCTTCGAGTATATCTCTAACCCAACGATTTCCTCGATTTATGCTATGCGAGCGTATCGAAGCTAGTAAACGCAGTGAAGCATAGTGGCCCAATCGCGATCTCTTGAGCAGGCGTCAGCATCAAGGGTGTCAGGGTTAGCCATGTCGGGTTATTGGGCCAAACCAGGATCTTTCTAAAACATGGATGACCCTCTCGTCCGTTCATGGTTGAAATGAATTCCTCCGCCTTGTGCACGCACTGTACGAGCCATTTCCACGTCGGTGTGGGAAGGTGGGAAGAGCCCTGTTGCACATTGGATGGCGTATCAACTACTACTCAGTGCTGCTTGATCTCCTTTTTCGTCGACGGAGCCCAAGGAGATGATCCTCGAAGGCAGTATCATTTTGGGAAGTAATAACGAAAGCCCCGCTCCGTCGAGCCTCTCCATTAATACCAGGAACCTTACCCCGCCAACTCCTCCCAAAAACCTGAATGGCGGGACGCCGAGTTTCAATTTCCAGCCCTTCCAGCTCCCCGTTTCTGTTTGTCTAGCAGTCCTTGCTTGAATCCATTGGTTTTCGTCCAAAATTACAGGAAGGGAAAAGGAAGCCTGGGGATCTTGCGCGCTAGAAATTGAAACCCTAGCACCCCTACCACCCATCCTGCCCGGCAGGCGGATTCCGGGACTTGCCACTTTGCTCTGTGACTTCTGCAGCCGTCCGAGTGTGAGCGGCGGTCAAAATCAGGAGGCAATGCGATGTGACAACCACATAGATACTATGAGCTGATGGCAACTTCAGCATCATGGGACCTAAGGTATTCCCGCTGAACGGATAGCCTTCTAGCTCAAGACGGGAGGGAAGGATACATCAATCCGATTGATCAGATTCCATTAAACCGTGCCGCCATCTCAAGACTAGGTTTCAGCATTCTTCACAAAGGAACCTTGACGTTGGGGCTGGGAATATGAGCATTTTGGATCGGGAGCTTACTCGTTGACAAGTCCTGCGGCGCCATGAGCAAACTACTTTGGTGAGGTTGCATCCAAGGAAGACAGGGCAGCGCCGACTCCGCGCTCAAGGCGGTCTGACGAAATGGGGGTTGAAACACCAATTAGGACATCTCCGGGCGCGAATGGGATCTAAGCCCTCCTCGGGATCAAAAATTACATCCACCAGAGTAGTGAGGAATAGTGAATAGTGAGGAGTGAGTAGTGGCAGTGGGGTAGTGGCATCCGTCGATGGTGGTTAGCGTGAGGAGAGGTCGAGGTTGGCTCGAATTGGCAATTTGGGGAGCCCCTCGTCAGCGAGCCGCACTCCGCACTCCGCGCTCCCGGTATACCCTCCCGGGTTATCTTGCCTCAACTAGAAACATAGATCTTGGGAAACAAGAAGAAATATGGAGCTTCTTTGTTTTCCCGCCCGCCTCCTCAACCCGTTAAACTAGAGATGGTAAGTTTGGGGAGCGGGCAGGCCGCAGCCTTGAGGATGGCGTGTTGATCTCGTGCCCTCGAAAGACGCAAACACGACATTCCCTGGGATCGCAAGTCTTCCGTCGAAGAATTGGACAATGGAACCGGTATCCATCCATCCTATAGGTCCATGCCCAATGTCCCGTTTGCTCGTGTGTTTCTGGGTATATGGACTGGCGACTGGCTGCCCGTCTAAAGTATGTCCACGCGCGTGGCTCATGTTGAGCAACGTGAAGCTTGTTCCTGGATGTCGTTCCAAGCTTGATAAGGTTGCGAAGCTAGCCTAACGGGTACCTCGAAGGCATCCTGTGCAGATTTGACAGCCTGACAGGATTAAGGGTACGCCGCTACAGAAAATGCTGGTGAGACATCGGAGCTCGAGGCGTTAGGGGTTAGAAGGGAGGGGGGGGGGGGGCAAAAGGAAGGGACGGAAGGTACCTCAGTATTGAGGCAAGGTAAGAAGGAGCGCTGAGGGCAAGTACAAGTAAGGCAGGTAGATTGGTAGAGTACTTTGGTTGGTGGGTACGAGTCTAGTGCTGCCGCCGTCGTTGCAGATGCAATCCTCGCCATGGGAGGCAAAGAAAGGGAAGGAACGGTGGGCGGGTCCCCTCCAGATCGCCTCTTGCCGAAAATTCTATCTGCTCTGGCCAACGATTACGATTACCCCATTCTCATTTTATCCTTTTCGAGCCTTCTCCGTCGAACCCGTTCTCGAATCCATTCTCTTATGGAGGGGTAATAATGGATTGATCTATGGATCTTGCTGGCCCGTTTCGAGCCGCAGCCCCAGCCCCCATCTTGGCTTTGCCTGGTGTTGTCCCTTCACCTTGCTTCCGAGTTAGATAGAGAGCAATATCCCACCGGTTTCTCTTGCCTCGCCTTGCGCTTGAACCGAACTCTCAGCGGCGGGGTCACATACATATCCAAATTGGACCCAACAAGCCACTCGCCAGTTTTCGAACCGAACCAAACCGTGTGCGATCCCCCGCGTGCCGGCCTCCTCCTGCCAACCCCATTAACCACTGTTTTATTGCGCACTAGACGAGGCACTAGCATGGCGTGGGACTAACCGCCGCCACCACACCACCACGAAACAAACCCCATCATATACCATGGGACACGGGGAGCAATCGTTGATACCTCAAGTGCTAGCGTAGTCGTGGGAGTGTCCTCAGGCTTCTGTTTCCCTAACCGGCCGAGACGGGCTCGCTTTTGTTTGGGCATCCTCGATTTTTTTCTTCTTTTTTATTCCATCCCGCCGCAATCATTCCAAGACGGCAAGCTCATAGTACTTGCTACCTTACCCAGCTTGTCCAAACATATATATCGTATATATCATCGGCATTTACATGTAGTACTACTGCATTTGCTTCAAAGGGCCCGTCGAATCAATCACGCGTGCTGTCTACTTTTTCTTGCTCCCTTTCTGGGGGTTCCTTTTCTTCTTCCCTCCCTTCAAGCACTCAAGCACCGACAGGCCAGTTCGCAAGCGCCCTGGCCGCCACCCCCCTCCCCCGACATCCTGGTACTCCACCCCTCCGCCCCCACCATCGATTTGGCTTTGTCGCTGTCCGAATTACCAGCCAAGGACCAAACCGGCCAGAAACCCCTCCTTCACACGGTTCCCTACTTTCAAACTTCGTGAACCCCCTTTCTTCCTTAACTACCGACAAAGATCTCCATCTAGAGGGAACAACGTTCGTGGCTCTTGAGGGGAAAAAGGGCTCCGTCACAAGACGAAAGCGATTGATCCGGCTTTCCTTTTGTCTCCTATCCATATTTCTCGAAACCGGTTGTCTTTTTTAACCTCGTCATATTTCTCCCCTCCTCCCTCTCTAGTTGGACGAATCCCTGGACGACGCCGACCCCTCATTAGGACCGGTTTCCCTCGACCTGCGACAATCGAGTGCCGCCCCTCAACGGCTTCTTCCCGACATCTACCTAGAGGAGAAAGCTGATTTGCTCTAAAACTCTTGAAGCAGCTGGTATCCGCAAACATCACTGCTGCCAGAGTTGAGATCTTTTCTCTTTTTGCCAATCGCTTCAAGCCCATATCGACCAAGGTCGCCTTTTTCTCGCCCTTGATCCGCCCCCCTTCCCTTATCTGCCGGCCCCTTGCGGTCCCGACGAGCGCCCTCTCGCGAGAAATTTCCACACTTCACTCCGCCGCCATGGGAGACCCATTCGCGCCCCGTTCTATGAAGCGGAAGAATGTCAAGGGTCTGGCTCTAACACCCGCTGCCGCAAAGCCTCCGCGCTTGGCCGAGTCTAAGAACGAAGATGAACAGCAACTCGAGATTGGAATCGAGTATAAGCTAGATCTGAAGCCCGAAGACCTTGATATTCTTAAGGAGCTGGGGTCCGGAAATGGCGGAACGGTCAGCAAGGTCAAACATCTCACCACAGGCACGGTAATGGCCCGCAAGGTATGTGTCTTTTTTTTTTTTTTTCCCTCCCGAAGAGCAGTTTTCCCTTGTAGTCTTGCTCTTGGAAGCTTCTTCTTTCGGCCTTGGTCGATGGAGGCGGCGCGATCTGGACAACTCCCCCATCCGAGGCTGCTTTCTTCCCCCTTATGTCGCCACTGCTCACGCTCTCATTGTTCCTAATGTTAGGTCATCCACGTCGAAGCGAACAAAGAAATGCGTAAGCGAATCGTTCGCGAACTTCAAATCATGCACGGCTGCCATTCCGACTACATTGTCACCTTTTATGGCGCTTTCCTCAACGACAACAATGATGTAATAATGTGCATGGAGTATATGGACGTCGGGTAAGCCTCAGAATGCCCTCGCATACTTGCGTACATACATACATACCTCTCCGTCGTAGCGGATCAGTAGGACAACCGTTGCTAATCTCTTTAAACCTCGTTGCTTTGTTTTGCAGGTCCCTCGACCGAGTATCAAGAGTATTTGGCCCTATCCGTGTCGACGTTCTCGGCAAGATTGCGGAAGCCACGCTGGGTGGCCTCACGTACCTTTACAGCAAGCACCATATCATGCATCGAGACATCAAGCCCTCCAATATTCTTGTCAACTCGAGGGGTGGCATCAAACTATGTGACTTTGGCGTATCGGGAGAGCTAATCAACTCGATCGCCGATACCTTTGTTGGCACGTCGACGTACATGGCGCCCGAGCGTATCCAGGGGAAAAGTACACGGTCAAGTCGGACGTGTGGAGTTTTGGCCTCACAATCATGGAACTCGCCATTGGCAAGTTCCCCTTTAGCTCAAACGCTGACCTCGAAGATGCCGACTGCGCGCCGGCGGGTATCCTTGACCTTCTCCAGCAAATCGTCCACGAGCCCGCACCCAGACTCCCCAAGAGCGACGCCTTCCCGCCGATTCTTGAAGAGATGATTCAGGGTGCATGTCCAAGGTGCCCGATGAGCGGCCGACACCTGAGGAGCTTTTTGTGAGTTTTTTCCAACCTTTGATCTTTCCTTTCCTTTTTCTTTTTCTCTTTTTCTTTTTTCTTTTTCTTTTTTTCTTTTTTTCGTTGTATTTCCATTTCCCCTATCACGTAATAGCGATCTTCAGAGGCTAACCAATGGTTGAATGTGGGTAGGACAAGGATCCCTTTGTCCAAGCTGCCAAGAGGACGCCCGTCGACCTCCAGGAGTGGGCAGTCGGCCTCATGGAGAAGGACAACCGAAAATCGCACCTTGCGCCACAGCTCTCGCCGGCGACGCAAGAGCTCCTCCGATCGACCGATTCCCCCACTTTCTTCCAACATCAAGCGACGCAGCAACAGCAGCCACACCAGCTCCAACTCCCCACATCGAGGGCCTGTCCCTCAACCCTTTGGAGACTCCGACGTCGGGGAAATTCCCATCGGCGGAGCGGGCATCATCTCTCCTCGAGATCACTACGATCACGGTTCATACAACAACTATTCCCGGACGCCGAGTGCAGCAGTCCACCCCGCCAGTGCCGGCATCGGCGGGTTCAGCCTTGCTGGTAGGGGCCTGCCACGGGTGGATTACCGGCCAGGAACGGGACCCCGGACGACGGGAGGGGCGAGAGCCGGAGACAGGCTAGATTCGGCATGCCTCCCCGAACGGGGGCTACAATTATGGTTATCCATCCAACTAGAGTGCGGATGATGATGACGATGACAAGGACGATGACAATACCGGCGACTGGGCGAGCCGTGGTCTAGATCTCTGGGAGGACACTAGTGGGGAGTGGCCGTCGACATACCCGCGTTGGTAACATAACAATTGGCCTGGTCTAGAATAGACGTTAGTGGGTAGTGGTGTAGGGGAAGTGGGTGATAGGTGGGAGATGCCAGCATGGGCCCGAAAGGTCTGGCAAGGACGAGGAGCCACGGAGCCAAGGCAAATGTGCAATGCGTCGAGAATAGATGCAGGGCCTGGGAAGGCTATTTGGGCACTATGTTGGAAAAGAATGTGGCGGAAGGAATTTTCTCACGGACAAAATGTGGAGGGCAGGCAACGCAGTACATTTGGTGTACCTGTGTAAACAGGCCATAAGGCCTTTTGATTTTTCTATATCTTTTTCCCACACCCTTTTTTTCTCTTATTTTCCTCTTCTCCTTCACATCTTGTTCTCCTCTCTTGTTTCTGTGCAAGCCCATCGTTTTCATCATTACCGAGAGTGCTTGGGAATTCCTGCTTGGCAGGGAGTTATGGTGTTATGAGAAAAAGACCAAAAAGAAAAACCAGAAAATCTAATGCAACGACATCTACATACGAAGCAAGCACAAATGCAAAGGATATCAATCATTCAAGGGTACATAGAGAGGCTGGTAAAGTCCCACTGTAGAAAAGAGAGAGAACAAATCCATACAACACCTTGCCTTTTGTATCGATGTCGAAATGCCGAGAGATTTTGTGTAGCGTGTAGTGGAAGTGTGTTTCGGAGTAAGCAAGGAATTGAAGTGTTTATTCCCCTTCCCTGTTCCTCCAGCTTTTAAGCAACAGGGCCGGCACCGGTATCGGGGAGCCATCTACCTCGCCGACAAATCCATTTTCGAGGATGGGGATGAGCTCGTCGAGGCGGCGAACGACAAGGTCAGCCATGCCGCTGGCGGCGACGTCGGCGTTGTGGTGGTTGAGGAGGAGGACGGTGGCGGCGCCGGCGTTGCGGCCGCCGAGCATGTCGTCCATGGAGTCGCCGACCATGATGAGATTGGTCGCGTCGGGAACGGCAGCGGCAGCGGCGCCGGCAATGGCATCCGAGTCACCGCCTCGGTCCCCGGAGGAGGAAAAGAGACCCCAGTCGCGGGCGATGGAGTAGATGCCACCGGGATGGGGTTTCGGTTCGCCGCCCCACTCGCGGGTGACGACGGCGAAGGCGCGGCCGGGGAGGAAGCGGGCGAGGAGGGCGCGGACGGGGCGGTCCCAGTTGCGGGTCCAGATGGCCTTGGGGAGGGCGCGGGCGTCGAGGTAGTCGATGAGGAGGACGAGGCCGGGCTGGGCGACTTGCAGGTCCATGTAGCGGGCTTCGATGGCGCGGAGGGTGTCGTGGGCGGGGGTTGGTCGGGGGCGGGGAGGGAGGCGATGTGGGAGAGGATGTCGGTGGTGGGGGGACGGAGAGGGCGGAGCGCATGTCGAGGAACATTTGGGTTTGGGGTTCGCTTTCAAGGAAAGGAGAGGTTAGCTTTTTTGCGTTGGGGGAGGTTTGGAAGGGGGATATACCAGAGAGTGCCGTCCATGTCGAAGACGATGCCTTGGAGTTTGGGTGCGTTGCTGGGGATGGGGGTGGGTTTGAGGGGCGCGAAGCGCCGGGGGTTTCGTGGGGACATGGTTGTTGGTGAGGTGTGGTGGTGAGGGAGAGGTGTGCGGAAGGAGGAAAAGGAGGAGGAGGAGAGGAAGAATGGGGTGGTTGAGGTTGAGAGCGGGCGGAGAGCGGAAGCTCGGGAGGGGAGGAGGTGAAGGGGAGCTTGGCGGGGAGGGACGAGGTCATGGAACGAGAGGGGGCAAGGAGGTACGGCCTTTTTTGGGGGCCTTTTTGTATTTGATTGTATTATGGATTCCTCAACTTATATAGGAAGATGAATTTGGAGACGAGGTATGGGGGGGATATACTGCTCAGGGAGGGAAGCAAGCTTGAGGCTTTTCCTATCTTATCTACGCAACAATCACCAGGATGGACCTATCTAGATGTGGGGTCGAGGAGAGCTCTTAGCTGAAAGGAGGGGCGAAAGTGCAAGGTTTCACGAGGAGAGTTGCACTTTGGAAGGCTTCATGACTAATAAGCCGCCGAGTCATGAACAGCTCCAAAGGTATGTTAGGTCTGGATACTCGGTATGACGCGGAGCAACGAGCAAGCAATGGTCTCTCACTGCTCAGGATACTGTTACTATTACGGAAGGCTTCCCGATAGGAAACTCTGCTATTTGGTGAGGGTTTCTTTTATTTTAATTATATATATGGGAGTAATGGCATTTTCCTCTCCCAACCTTTTCTCCCGGCCTCGGACCGGGCTAGAAGGCCGTCGAGGCCGATATATCACGGGTTAAACTGCCGGTCGTCTGGATAGGCAATGGCGCCCTTGCTAATCTTGCGGAGGTATCCCAGGAAGGACCCCGAGCCTGGCCCCGAGAAACAAAAGAATGTTGGGAAGAGAATAACAGGCATATCAATGACCACCAGTTCACCCTTTACAAACAAAATGTAGGTTCCGGAAGTATCGAACATTCCCACGGCGGATCACACATGTTGGATTAAAGTCTCCATCGTCTTCATTCAACTTTCATTCTCATCTCGGTAATAAAGTGGTCTAAAACAATTCCCAAAAGCTAAATATTCTACACTGTGGTTTCTGGCTATTTTGCTTCCCTTCTTCTTCTTTTCTGTTTTTCTGGCTTCAACCTCCGTCGTCCCCCGTGAGATCCTCCTCGTATACCTGCTCCCTTTGCTAGAAATGCCATCGTCAAGAGCGACGCGACGCGACACGAACCCTCACCCCGGCCCTTAGCTAGGCCGTTCTACGGCCATTATAAACCCGGGTGCATGTATAACCTTTTCCTCTCTCGTTTCATCCGAGATGGCGGGCGAACAAACGAAGAAGAAAGAGGTGGAGGTAAGAAATGTGGAAAATGGCCAAGGGAAACAAGCAAAGAAAGAAAGGGAAAAAAGGGATCAAGGATGGGCATGGCCCAAAAATAAATGCACACACATACCCCCCAAAAGGACCATCTCTGCCTATACGCCCAAGCAAGACGCAGGCCAGACGCGCAGGAATATCCCGCGACTCACACATTTTGCCCATGCGCTCATCTTCTTTTTATCTCCTCCCCTGTTTCTGCATTTGTAGCTTGACTTCGTTCTGGTGCCGGAGCTTGAAGCCGTTGCACAGCGCCCTCATATCCGGATACTCCGATCCCAACATCTGGTACGCGTGCGGGATCACCTTGACCACCCACGACACCACCGGAGATGCCTTGCTGGACTTGAAGCACAGGAAGAAGCATCCCGGCCGGCCCGTATCCAGGCAGAATGCGTACGTTGACCGGTTGGGGTTGGCGTCCATGTACGTGGTGAGCCATTTCTCTGTTGCCGCGGGAAACATGTCGTTAGCAATGCAAAGAAAAGCCAACGTAAAAACTAGAAAAAAAAGGTCTTGAAGACTTACCAAGGGCCGCCTTAGACACCTTGTGAAACTTTTCATGCTGCGTCAACTGCTCCACCTTCTTGGCCATCGACTTGACGTGCTCCGCAATGAGCTCGTCCAAATCAGTGTACGTAAACTTGCCGCCCACGCGCAGCGTCCGCCCCACGGAAAACTCGTTTTCCTTTTGCAGCTCCAGCACGTCGAGGTGCTGGTACACTCCGTCCGCCACCTTCCACGTCACAGCGAGATGGTCGTTGCCCTTGGACGACGGCCGAATCACCACCTCGCCCACCGGCTGCGACCCGAGGTACTGTTCCGCCTCTATACCGTTGAACGGCTTGAACAGCGGGTGGTTGATCACCCTCTGCGCCCGTCCCGTCGTACGGTCCTTCTCCTTGAGCTCCTCCCGATCTTGCCTCTCCAGCTCGTAGTCCCACTGCTCGGGGTGGTGGTTGATCGGTCGCCGGTACGGCCGCCGTAGCGCGTCCTCCCGCATCGTGAGTTTGACTGAGAACTCCTTGTGGCTCACCTCCAGTACCTTGGCGTTGGTCGTCTGCCCCACCTGCAGCATCTCCCGCACCGAGCCTCGCCCGCTCACCTCGTGCGCCTCCACGCGTCCCTCGATTCCGCAGTCCAGTTTGACAATGGCAAAGTCATCCTTGGCCACCCGCACGTTGACGGGTACAATCATGTCGCGCGCCAGACTCTCGTCCGTTTCTCCCGTAAACATTGTAAAGATTTGCTCCGCCCCCAACGTCAGGAACGGCTTGCGGATCTCCTCATAGGGCGCCTGTAGCTCGAGCCTGATCGTCTCCAACGTTGCCCGCTTCTTTTGGCTGTAGCTCGATTCTAGCTGCTCCGCGTACTCTTCCAGAATCAGCTCGTTGACTCTCTCCTGTTCCTCCTCCTTGAACAGCTTGCGTACAACGGCCCCCGCACCGTTCTCGTCGATCTCGGCCTTGACGTCTTCCTCGTCTAGCTCCAGCGCGTCTGCCGCCATCTTGCGTCCCAGTTCGTAGTCCTCGGGGTGCACACGCGTGTTGTCAAGCGGGTCCGACTGCGGATCCGTCGAATCGTATTCGATGTAGAGGAAACTCGCGCAGTTGTTCCACACACGCGGTCCCACCACTGGGAGCTTTTTGGAGTCTGGGTCGCCCACGAGCTCGTCTCGCGAGTTCACCACCCCGCCATTGGCGTTGATGGCCTTGAGCACGCTCGTCGCCTTTCGAGGTCCGAGACCGGCCACGTACGGCAGCAGGTTCGCCGTGTACGCGTCGTTGACCGCCTCGTTGATGTCGATACCGCAAAGGTTGACCATATCAACCATTGCCGTCTCCAACGTCTTCATCAGCTTATCTTGCGGTAGCAGCTTCTGGCACGGGTGGAAGTTGAGAGTCGCCACGTCCTTGCCCAGCGCCGCGTACTCCTTGATCGGGTTTTGCATGTACCGCGCTAGCGCAAAGCAGTACCGCGCAGTCGGGTGCAGAGATGGGTGGTCCGCCACCGCCCGCGGGCTGTCCTTGTACAACCGCGCAACCTCATCGTTGACCACCACCACCTCCAACGGGTCCGTTCGGTACTCCTTGTCGTCCGAGTCCGGGTCTTGATATTCGGGTCCCATGATGCCCTTTTCGTTAATCAGGCCTTCGAGGTCGCGCACCAGCTTGTTCGTCGCCGCCGAAAAACCGCTCACACCCACCACGTCGGGCCTTCGCCTCTGCACAAGCTCGGCAAAGTCTTCGCGTTGCTTCTCGTCGCGACCCAGGCTCGTAAACTTGCCGTGCTCAACAATGCGGCCGTCCTCCTCCACCCAGGTCCAGAAGACAGGGTCGCGCATGGCGTCGCCCATGCCGTTGGAAAGGATGAGCACCCGCGGCGCCGTGCCGAGCACGAGGCCCTTAGGCTTAATAGGAGCCTGGTCGAGACGTTTATGGTACTCTTCTCGGCACGCGTTCAGCACTTCCTCCTGACACGCCGTGCGGAGGGATTCCTTGACACCCTTGGTGATGATGCGCTCCAGCTTCGAGCACGCGAGGTCTAGAACCTTTTTGCGCTCGTTTCTCCAGCGCTGCGCTACGTCGCTAAAGTTCTCCGACTCGAATTCCATGTCCAGCTTCTCGCGGAACTCGGATCGGTTCCGCATCCGAAGCCTGACCTCGATCAAACCGTCCTCCTCCGCCTTCATCATCTTGAGGAACAGCTCGGGTTGGCGCGCAAGATCCAGCATGGTTTGTCGCATGAGGTATTTGATGTCGTAGTATGGGTTTGATTCGTCAATCTTGCGAAGGCCCTTCTCCGTTCGGTGGCAATCAATCTCTCCCTGCTGGTAAAAGTGCATGCGGAAGAACTTGCGCATCCGGGGGTTGACAAAGAGCTCTTCGGCATACATCTGTCGCGCCGCGGAGAGGACCGAGTCACCCGTCGGGAAGTCGTCATCCGCAAGGTCGTCGGCAAGCTGCTCGGGCTCCTTGGCGTCGTCTTCGGGAATGACTTTACGCCCTTCGCCCAGCGCGTTCCGAGCCAGCTGGTCGGCGGTGAGGCCGTACGCTTGAACGAATTGATACGCCCTACTCTTGCGGACGCGATCCATCATGGCAGTGCGCGAAACAGGTCTCTTCATCTGCTGGCTGCCACCGTTGGTGGAAGCGAGCTCCCTCAGCTCGCCGCCGTATCTAAAGTGCGTATAGTCCTGGAGGTCTTGCAGCTCCTCGACTGTGGCGGCCTGGGGAATCATGTCCTCCAGCATGTCGTCCCGGACGCCCGCATTATTCTTGAGGTTCTCATACGTCTTTTCCAACATGTTGCGGCGGTCAATGAGCGAGCGGAACTTGATATCGAGCTCCATGATGCGCCAGAGATCGTCCTGATTCAAAAGCTTCTTGGCTTCGATAATGTACTCGGGGGCGTCGGGGTCGAGACGGTGGTCGGGATTCGGGACCTTCTTAGTGTCGAGGAGGTAATCCTTTCGGTGCTGAAAGACGTAAGGAACCTCGACTTCGTCCACCACGAAGAACTCGAGAACCTTGCCGATGGCCTTTGTGAAGGGGCTGTGGGATTCCTGCGGAAGATTCTTCTTAGGCCACATGAGGGCCGAGATCCAGCGCGCCTCCTCCTTGAACTGCTCGCCCGTCATCTGCAGAAGCTTGAACTGCTTGCGGTCGATCTGGAAGCGTTCGGGCTCGTCGGTGAAGCGGATCTCATTGTCCTCGTCAGTCAGGAGCTTCTCGGTGAGCTGGGACGGTTCGAAAACGTCCTTGAGCTCGATCGTCTGCTCGGCCTGCTCGCGCTCAGCTTCCTCCTCTTCGGCTTGGAGAGCCCAGTCGTAGTCAGCACCGTCACCAAAGATGTCCTCCATGTCTTGCAGGGCATCCTTGTCAAGGCCCGATGTGTCAATGACGCTGCTAACACCCTTATCACGTGTCCGGGCAACCTCTCTCTCTTCGCGCTGGCGCTCAATCTCCTCCTCTGACTCGGGGAAGTCTTCTTCGATGAAGTCAGCAAACTCGTCGGGCTGAGCTCGAAAGTTGGATCGACCATAGGATCGCTGGTCGCCACCCTCTTCCTCGTCATCGGAGAAGATCTCGTCAAGGCCGCGCCGTTTCGTTCGGGGATCGTCCTCATCGTTGTGGCCGCGCTTGAGTCGCTTGAATTTAGGCTACAAAGGAAGACAGAGACATGGTTAGGATTCGTTACGGTATGGGCCGCGTAGAGACTTGACAGGCGGACACGTCTCATCACCTACCTCGGATTGTGCGCCTCGTTCCCATCCGGGAAGTTGCTCGCCAATGAGCTCGAGGTCGTCCTCGTCTAATTGCTCCTCCTCTTCTCTATCACGGCGTGCCCGCTTCCGTTTCTGTCTCTCTTCTGCGTCTTCGTCCTCCCCGTCCTCTTCTTCGTCTTCGTCTTCGACGATAAATCCTTCGCGAACCTAGGTGGATAGAAATCAAGTTAGATATCACCATCGCATGGAAGGGAAGGAAAAGAAGGCGGATGGGCGTCCAAACCTTTCGCTCCTCTTCCTCATCGTCCTCTTCCTCTTCTTCGCTAGAATCATCAATGTGCGCAGCACGTCTATTGCGACGGGGCGAACCAGTCTCTTCATCAAAGGACTCGTCTTCCTCTTCGGAGTCGACCTCCACGCGGGAGTCGATGAAACCTGAGATGTCGTTGCTCATGCTGGGCGATCACAGCTGTTCGTCTTAGCTAGGCCACAGTTAAAATCCGTCGGGACGGAGAAGAATCGCCAACAATCGCAGCGCCGCTGTCTATCACCAGACCAGCGTCGCAGCGAGAAAAAGATGTGCACGCGTCAAAGTGAGGTGCACAGGTTGGTGTTTTGGGGCGAGGAGAGAGAGGAAAAGAAAAGAAAAGGGTCGTCTCGATGCCGAACGGCGGCAATGGTGATGGGGTCGGGGTAGCGAAATAGTTGTGAGGAGGGGGTGAAAGGGTGTTGGAAGCGAGCGTGGTGGTCGAGGCTCCGGGATGCACCAAAGGATGCAGTATGCAATTGGGGTTGGCGAGGCAAGCTTGCTTACCTACGCTTTATTCTCCAGTAATGGCCAACCCTGAATTTTTGGCTGTCGCCCCTGCCCAAAACGAAAGCCAGGAAAAAAATAAACCTCCAGCCTCGTTGTGTATGTGCACGGACCAGCTAGCTTGAGGAAGCTTCAACTCTCACGTCGTACCTGCCATCAGCCCATGTGTGATGCTTTTCCCAAGTACATATGAGAGCGCCGACCAACTTGATTAGTCACTCTTACACCCCTGTTCTCGCTTTGGAGTGGTGTATGTCTGCCTGGGTCTTGTGTCGGCCATCGGTTAATACAGAGCAAGAAGAAATTATTTGAGCTGCTTTTTTTCGCGATTGGGTAAATTTGTATCTCGCACCACTCACCACTCACTAGATCGATGGAGGGTCCAGCGCTCTGGGCCCAAGTTCTCCCTACCAGGGTACCATGGCCATGATAAGACTTTCAGCGGTCGGGTAATTGACCTTCATACTCCAAGCCTCCTCCTTTCAGCGTTGTCGCCACTTTCTTTGATCTACTCGTGCGCGCTTCGGACCGTTAGTGCGATGAACGCGACACGCTGCGGCTGAAGAGATGGACGACCCGCTGAGGCTGGGCGATGGCTCTCGACAATCCTCTCGATTGAGCTTTTGCAACCTCCCCAAGCTGGGCCTCTGCCAGCGCTTAGCCTAGCGTTAAAGGGTGCGCGTGGCTGGCTTTACCAGAGGCTTTTGCGCTCCTGAGTCTTGAGACCTTTTTTCCAGAAGGTCTTGTCTAGAGCACTCGGCGCGTGAAGAATCCCTCGAGACGCAGCTGCAGTTCGCGTACTCTCGGCTATGCAGCTACGCGTCGGCCTTCTTTAACGCCGCGGTACTTTGACGAAGCCTTTGCGCTGAGGTGGCGCCCTCCACGTCCAAAGTTACTCAAGGGACGCGACTCGTCGCTCGCTGTGAGCTCGGTCGACAAAGGCAATGGATGCAGAGTTAGAACGATGGGCGCAGCGACAATCGTCCGCACTCTCTTCTATCGCGCAGCGTACTCTTAGCCCGTCTCAGGCTATGTACCATTTACGAAGCCATTCCCTAGGGCTTATCAAGGCGCAGAGATTGTCTAGCCCTGCAGGGACATTGGCGACGTAAATCCCCTTGGACGTATTCAACGCACGAAGCTCGCCTGCCTGTCCACCTCGATCGTTGACACAGGCTGCCTTCTCGTCTCTACAGTTACCTTGGTAGAACTTGGTCTCATCGCTTGGCCCTCGCCGGGCCAAAAGCTTTCCGGGTTCGATCACACAGGCAAAAGTGAGGACTCTTCCAATCGATCAATCCCCTACCAGACCTGGTGGTTAAGCCACTGCACGGCATCCTACGGATCAGCCAGCTGCACCGGACTGCTTCACAGCAGAATGCACATCTTCGCATACTCTCTGCCATACTGCACCATGAATATCCTGTCGATTTCACGTTTCAACGGGGTGCCCATGTCTTTTGAAGCTTCCTGGTCTGCCATATCGTGTTGTATACTGGCATGGCAAGCCAAGGATGGGGGCCCCTACCCCACTGTCGGGGCATACGTTACCATAGGAATCCGATACGTTTTTTATCATCACCTCGCAGTTGTAAGCGCCGACGAGACGACGACTGTCGCTTGCTATGTGATCGCTTGCTAAAGCGATGAAACCAAGTTTTCTGATCAAACCTGCTAGAGGCAGGTGTGTGAAGAGAAACAGAGACGCCTCTCGCCAACGTTATTTTCTGGAGATATCCTTCAAGGAACTCTCGAAGTAACGTTGGCAAAGATTATACATCATTTAAGAAAATAAAATATATATTGAAAAGTTTAAAGACCCGATATTCTCCAGCTGCCAGTTAGAGAATAAATCCACGGGTGAGAAGAATCAGCGTCCCTAATAATCCACAACCTACTCAAAGTCGGGGTCAGTAGGTATGAATTACCTCTTGACCGATAGTAGGCAAAGTCCACGCTGCAGAATATCCATGGATCATTCGTTGGTAAAGCCCCAGGCAGGCAATTTAGTTAGCTAGGGTAGTTACGATAGGTATCAGTGCGTCGGAGTAAATTCCTTGATCCTTCTAGCTAGGGATTCCTTGATAGTCTCTCAGTCTTAGCCAGGCTGTCAATCTCGTTTAGTGTTTCAATATCATCGATGTGTTGGTATAGCCTTCCTTGCTACAACTTTGAAATCTTGTGATTTATGACAAGCTCGATTATTATAATCGGTTCGCAGGCTAGCCTACTAGGTTTTGTTTAACAGGTAGATATTTACTACATCTAATGTCATGTAAATTTGAAGGTATAAAAGTTCATCTTCCCACGCCATGTCTACCGTATCATCATTAAACGCCCTATCGCGCGAAACTTTGCCTTTTCGTCCCCGCTCATTTTGCATGCCCCTACGTGTACGCTCCATAGCATCGTACACGCAAGGACGAAAGCAAGGCAAAAAAGGAGAAAAAGACCCCCTCTTCCAAATCATAGATGCCGCCCTAGCTCCATCACAGCTCTATCAGAAACTACACTCCCTCACCCGTCCCAACGACCCAATCTTGTACTCAATCCACCTCGCCACACCCCTCTTATCCGGCACCAGCACCGAGCCCGGGTTCATGACGTGACACCGCCCGTACGTCACGCAGAAGGCGGGGGCCGTCGCATCCATGAGCACCATGGCCGAGGGGAGCGGGTACAAGTGTAGCGCCCACGAGTAGTCCCAGTGCACGGGGCGGATGCTCGGCTGGAAGGGCGAGAGGTAGCCCTGATCGAGGACCGTCTTGACGAGCCGCTGCGCGGTGCGGAGGCTCGCCTGCGCCACGCGTTGCGCCTCGCCCGCGTCCACGCCCGCATCGCCGTTCTCCGAGCCGCTGTTCCCGTCATCATCGTTGTCTGCCACGGGCGTCATAACGACGTCTTCGCCGTCTTGCTGCGCCTCGTGGCGCGAGGCGCCCACGGACACGGCGTTCCGTTGCAGGCGGCCGAGCACGTCGTCTCGGAAGAGGACGAGCTCGTGGTTGGGGCCGAAGAGCGATAGCCGGCTGGGGTTGGAAGCCCATACCGCTTCCGGGTTCGCCCTGGAGGCATCGTCTCCTGTGCTACCAGTACCGGCCGTGTTGGCCGTAAAGAGGCGGCGGATACGCGAGGTGAAGACATCGGGGATGGATTTTCGAGGAGCGGGGAGGAGGCGCCCGCGGTGCCGGCCGAGATCCACGCGTCGTTATCGCCAGGCACGAACACAAAGGTGGAGTCCTTGACGAGGGTCGGAAACTCGGCCAGGACGGTCCCCAGCTCGTCAAAGTACTCCTTGTACTCGACGCTGCCCCTGCCGCGGCCCCTCGCCATGACGGGCTGCGAGACAAAGTTGCCCATGAGGATGAAAGTCAAGGGCGCCGCCGCCTGGTCTTCGGCCGCGTAAAGCGCGAGGATCTTGCGTAGCGCCGGCAGCGTCCGCGGGTTATCGAGGTTCAGCTCCCCGAGCACGACCATGCGCGACCGATCAGCCGCCTCGTCCTCGGTGAGCCGCCGCAGGAGGCGCTCCTCCACCCGCCTCATCTTTTGGCCTACCGCGCGCTCGCTCCCCAACCCAGAGAAGTCGATCCACCCGAACCCTCCGCCTATCGATTGATCCTGCGCGCCGTCCGCGCCCGTCATGCCGAGGAAGTCGCACGCGTCTCGCACGACAAGTGGCCGATAAAGGAGGCGATAAACTTGCCGCCGAGCACGCCACCGACACCTCTCGTGCCGCCGAGGCCCTTCCCCGTCTCCTCGTCCTCCTCCTCGTAGATGCCGTCCACCAGTACAATCATGCTCGGGGTGAACCACGCCGAATTTTCCGGGTAGTCAATCGCGCGCGACAGGTCCAGCGTTATCGTGCCCGTCAGGTCGCTAATGGCCAGCTCGCCCGCCGGCAGGATGACGAGCATGCCCAAAAGCATTTGCTGCGTTCCGTGCCGGCCCAGCATGTTGGCGATCTGCGTGATCTTGAGGGCCTGTCCGGCGCCAGGACCACGCCGCTTAGTAGAGTTTCGCGCGGTCGCGACGCTGGATGTGTGGAAGGATTCGTGGCGGAGGAGGCGTTGGTGGACGACGTTGAAGCGGTTTTTGAAAGCGAGGGTTTTCGTGGGGCAGAAGGCATGATTGAGGGTTTCGTAGTATCCCTGTTTGCGTCGTTCGCTTCGTTAGCTCGGAAAACCAAACAGCTAAGGGAAGACGCTCGTAGCTAGAGCGGAGGGCGGGGAATTACCTTTCAAAGTGTTTCTTGCTAACGTTGTAGACAAGCCGAGGTTGTTCGTGAGCATTTAACACTTTGAGCCACTTTCTCACGTCGTTCAATGCCTCATCATCAATCTCGTCATCAACGGCCAGACTCGAAACCCCGAGGCTTGCCTGGCTGTCGCCTCTCGTCAACGTCCTACCCGGCGGTAGGCCCATGCGCACGTTTGTCAAGTCAGAATCTTGGCTAGACTCCAGCATCAAACTATTCTGCCGACTTAAGCCCTTGCCACCAGATATGACCTTGCCGCCACTCATGCCCGCCTCTAGCGTGGTCAGGATCTCCTTGAGCTCCGGGCTCGCGCCGTCGACGATGACCCCGCCATTGCGATTCTTCCAGCTACGCGCCACCTCTTCGAGCACCTTTTCGGCGAGACCTTGTTCGCGCCAGCCGAGCCGCAGTGGCGCCCAATAAAAGAGGCGAGCTCCGCCAGGCTCGACGAGTTGAGGGTTAAGCTGTGCTTTTTAGTAAAGGTGCGAAACGCGAGGGGCCGGAGCGTCGCTGGCGGGAGCACGATGGGGAGGACGGCATGGCGAGCGGCGCCGGCGCCGGCGGAGGGTGTCGCAGAGAAAGGTTTGAGAGGGTGGGCAGGAGTGCCAAAGGCGGGAGAGGAAGAGGGGATTTCGGAGGACGGAGGATGGTTCGCGCGCTTGGCGGGGTTTCTTTGGCTATGAATTTGTGCATGGCGGTGGTGGTCGGTCAAGGTGTGCGTCTCGATATCATAACATTTTTCTCGGGATTTCAAGTTGGGAGAGGGAACCTGATATTCAACTCGCTAATGGGCCGGTTCGCGTGTGCCGAAAATGAGTGGAAGTCAAGGAAATGGCTGGTGTTTTACTCGTCCAAGGTGGGTGCCCTCAGATAGTGGGATGTGGTTGTCGAGACGCGTCCCAATTTCTGGTCGCGTAAAGAGCTTTGTGGGGTCTCAGCGGCCAATAATTCACAACTGGTGGCAACTGCGGAAGCACCCAGCTCGGTCCTGTGCGGCGCCAAATTCGGTGCAGCGACATCAATCTCAGCACCTGTGAACAAGAGAACCTGGTGCTGGATTTAATTGTTCCTAACGACAATCCACATTTACGTTCACCATGTCGCGCATCTTGATACGAACAATTGGAGGCCGTGCGGGCCAACCAAAGCTGTTCCAGCCATTCCGCCCTCTTTGCGCCAAGTCTATCTCAACACTGTCATCCAACCCCAAAATCGTAAGCTCGAGCTCCCAGCTCCCAGCTCTCCCAGCTAGCCTCCGACGTCACCTCGAGGTAATAGCGAGAAGATGAGCAACTAACCTTCTGGCCCCTCACAGAATGTCTTCTCCGACCACCCAGCCCCGACAGTAAGCCTCCTCACGTACCTTGACACAAGCCCGCCTTCGCAGTCCCTCGCTATCGGGACAACGACCGCCCTCCCACCAACCCCGCAGTCCCTCAAGGAAAACCCTCGATTCCTCGCTATTCTCAACGAGGTTCTAATCCAAAACGCCCACGATGACCCAGATCTCCAAGCCCAGGCTCGAGCCTTTGCGGGTCCCGGGGCTCCTCGTTCGGCCTCGGGGTCTTCCAGCACCAGCGCCGCCGCGCAAAGAAGCTGACGGGCGACGGCGGAGCTGGCGGAGCGAGCGCCCAGGGCGGAGCAGGTGGCGGCGGTAGGGGAGGCCATGTTCACCTGAGCGACATGAGGAACCCGCCCGACTTTGGGCGCATCGCATGGCCAGAGGATATCCTGGGTAGTGTGGAAGTAGATGCGGCGGGTGATATCGTAGGGAAGCTCGTACCCAGTGGAACTTACCGGATCATTACGAACCAGGGAATGTAGGTGTTCTTTCCCCCTTTCCCTCTGCGCACAGACTTGATATCTTTCCCCTCTTCCCATTGTACGCATTCCCGCTAACCTTGACCTATAGTTTGGGGCTGAGCCCGTTCTTGACAGAGAAACTCGTGGCGAGATTGAAGGAAGAGGAAAAGAAGAAGAACAGTGCCTAGTTGCGATGCGAAATGCCTACAACATGCACACTACGCCACCTCTGGCCCTACCCCAATGAGGGTTCTTTGTATATCATCCTATATCACCCTATTCTTTTGAATCTGTACTATATACACTAGATAGACGACAGCAATGACCCCACCCCGTAAAACGCCTTCTTTTTATCTATAAGAGGAAAAACAAGAAGCAAAAACCCAGAGATCTCACGGTTTTCGAATCTCGACAATATGAATCGGAACGCCTGTAGGATAAAAGGGGCCTTGCTGCTCCACGGCTGCTGGCGCGGGGTACTCGATAAAGTCCACCAATAATCCCTGGGACTTACACACGTCCAGCATACTGCTCAGCGTCTCCGCGTTTCTCTCCGCGGTGCTAAGAATGACCCTGACGCCAGGGAACATGTCGAACAGCTCTCCCAAGGTACCCACAAGCGCCGGCTGCGAGCGAGGATCGTAGGTGATGTCCGACCCCAAGACGACATCGATCGCCTCGCCGCCGTTCCACTCGGCTTCCTCGGTGCCGAGTAGGGCGCGGCCCCAGAACAGCTCCGTGATGGCGAACTTGTCGGAGCCTTGGAGGCCGTTGAGGAAGCTGGCGTCGGCAAGGCCTGCGACGACCTCCTCAGAACCGTCGGAAGCGAGGACTCTGGCGGCGCCGAGGTGCTTGGCGCAAAGGACCGAGATGTAGCCCGTGCCCGCGCCCAACTCGAGAATGCGCTTTCCCTTGATGATTTCTGGCACGGTGCAGAGCCATTGGCCTAGGTGGAGAGCGGCCTCCCAGGTACGCAATCCCGTGGTACCGAATGATGCCACGAGTCCCCGAGATTCAAGGAGGGTGATGGTTTTCTCCGGGGTCCCTTGGTGGGCTTCGCGGGTTTCGGAGTCACCATTGAGGAGTGACAGGTAGTAAGTGACGTAATCCGTTTGCTGAACGGCTTCGCTCTCTGATGGTAAGGGCACGGCTAGGACTTCGGCAAAGGCCTCCATAAGGCTATCTGATACTCCCTACGCCGGAATATAATCAGTCACAAACCTGGTAAGAAATAGAAAAGACAGGCCAAGGGCAATAGCAAATACAAAGAATGCAGAGAAACGGGGAGAACCCCTGTATAGAAGTGGGGGTCACTTGGAAGGAGACAATACCTGCTCTTCCCAATCATGGATGCTCTTCTCTATCCGTGAGAGTAATTCCTTCAAGACCCTAGCACGATATCTTTGCGGAGGCGGAAACGGCACCGCCCCTTCTGCGAATAGACTCTCATATAAAGCTTCTTGAACGTCGGACCGGCGCAAAAGATGGCCATCCGGATAGTCCAGCTGCTTTTCCAGTTGCAGGTACTGGTGGCAAAAACGGCTCAGAGAGCCTTCCAGCTGCGGGCGAGCCATGGCGTAGCTGTTACGGTTCTAGAGGGTTACGCAAACGTGTTGGCCGATACTAAGCGCTCCAGGCGGAGGGGAAAGAGGAGCGACCTTTGAGGTAGAAGCATTAAGAATTGGCCCTTGGCCTTCCAGCTCTGTATCAGTTAAGAGCGAAACGTGAGGCGTTTTCAAGGAGCGTGGAAATAGCCCCCACCTGTACACTTCCGGGTCCTTTATTCAAGCATGAGGTCGCAATTTGTCACTTTTAAACTATTCTTTTTCTTTGACCAACTATCGGAAGAATGAGGGGCAGCTCATCGTAGTCGTCTTTGGTGGGGTAGTTTTTGCTTGTAACCATGAGCTTGAGCTCGTCTCCAAATTCCTCACGTAAGCAAAGCTGGCAGAGCAAGCAAACAACTCCATGATCAGGGGTCTCAGGCTTGAGCGATATGGGTGTAAGCTTTGGATGAGGTCTTCATGATGGCTACAGGGAAGCTTTTTCCGTTTCGAATTATTTATTCACATTCATAGCATACATAAACCTCTTTGGTAGAAACCCCTAATAAGTCGGGGGCGCGCTTACACCATGAACTGAGCTTGGATCCCAGATATTCACACCAAAACGAGCGTAGTCTTGGGAGAGAGATGGTTCACTTGAAACCCACACCATATCCCGCGATGATTTTGTGGGCTTATAGGTCTAGAATCAAGTAGATTCAATGGTATAATAGGGTACTCGAGTAGACCTTGATTCGATTGTACATCAGTCGGGCGACAAGAGTTGTTTATTGAAGACATGTTAAGATCAATATATTTAGCGCTGTCCGAAAATATCACATCTTCCCCTATCGGCTCAATCGAGACCCGGCGTCGCGTCCGTATGGTTATATATATAGTAGATGATATGTATATTCCCTAATTCCATACTCTACCTAATGTGAATGCTCCTAGTGCAAGCGTGATCGAAGTTCCCATGAAGTGTAGTCATAGATGACTGGTTTCAATCATGACACCAATTCCCATACCTCGGTACACTCCCTCATTTTGAAGCACTGCACACGGAAATTCCAAAAGAATGAAGAAACTCGGGTGTAATATATTACTCTAGCTCTCCAGCAACTAAAAAGACTTCGAACACGGGTTGTCTTCACAAGATGAATGCTCAATGCGTTCTAGCGGAAACCAAAGAATGCACGGCGAAGTTGAATTGAGCGAAGAAAGCCGTCGAGGTCAACATGAAGCCTGCAGATGCCACCACCGTTTTATCTTATTTATTATTTATGAATATAATCTAAATTCAAGTTACCCTCTCGAGAAATATTACCAGGTAGGTGTAGTGCTGCCAGGAACACATGCCAGGAACGCCGAACCTGGCAAAGGTTGACTCATTAAACCAGAGAAGCTCTAATACAGACAGATTGGTATTGGCTAGAATTACCACCGGTTTTTGCTCTCTTCATTTTTTTCACAATTAAAGAAGGACTCATGGACCTGTAACCTCTTAAATTTCTAGTAGCGCAGTTTCAACGAGTGGTATGGTGCTTGAAGCAACTAGCTGGAGCTTCGGCGGTATCCCGAACTGCAACCCGAAGGCCTGCCGGCATTTTCTTTGTGCTGCCCACCGAACAAGAATCGAAGACGGCGGTTGCATGGTCCGGCTGGTCGCACTTGCCCTGTGGGTTCTTCCTCAAGGCAGCTCTCAGCCACAAGTCGAGCTTCCGATGTGGCTGTGGCGGGATCTGTCAGTCACGTGAAACGACACAGCGCCACAGGTCAAACCCACGCTTGAGTGGGTCCGCAAAGTGCAAAGGACGAAAAATATTGGCGAAATCCCCCATTAGGGCTACCCACACAGAAAGGGCAGAACCACCCCATCGACCGCAGGCACCGCCAACCCTCAAGCCGACAATAATCCCCCTTCGAGGAATCTCAACCACCAGAAAAAATCCACCCACCACCACCACCACCAACCCATCTTCCCTCTTCGCCGTCAACGACGATAGAATCGATCACCCAAGATGGCGGACTCCGACGCTCCCGTTACCCTCCGAACGCGCAAGTTCATCCGAAACCCTCTGCTTGCCCGCAAGCAGATGGTCGTGTGAGTTTTACCCTTGCTGTCGAATGTGGCCCTTTGGGAAGGCTCTTCCTACACTCCCTGTTGGACGGATCCCGAGAAGGACAACTCTCCTTTGGCTGCGGTGGATGTGGTACTTGGAACGAACGGAAGAGACGGCCTCAATCAATGAATGTCCTTGCCAATGGACCTCGATTTGAATCGATGGCCGATTCGTCATCCGAGAAAGAGATGGGAAGAAGCGGGAGAAAAGCCTGGAGAGAGGGTCCGTCTGGGATGTGTGGATAGGATTTTCCATCTTGTCTTTGTTCCAGTTCTCTTGGCTTGGGCATCTTTTTGATGAGGCTCCAACTGACTTGTGCATTTTTTGCGTCGAATAGTGACATCCTCCACCCCAACCGCGCCAACATCGCCAAGGAGGAGCTCCGCGAGAAGGTTGCCTCCATGTACAAGGCCACCAAGGACCAGGTTTCCGTCTTCGGTCTCAGGACCCAGTATGGTGGTGGCAAGACCACCGGCTTCGCCCTCGTCTACGACTCTCCCGAGGCCATGAAGAAGTTCGAGCCCCAGTACAGGTTGGTCCGTGTTGGACTTGCCCAGAAGCGCGAGAGGGCCTCCCGACAACAGCGTACGTTTTGGTTTCCCCCTCCTGCTGTTTACCTGATATCGCACCCGATGGCATTTTGCTGTATGGGACGCGGGGCATCCCTCTCTTGCTTCTTACAGAGCTATCCCACACCCGTCTGAACCTCGTCGCATTGGTGGCTAACCCTGGGGTCTGATATATAGGCAAGCAACGCAAGAACCGACAAAAGACGCTGCGCGGAACTGCCAAGGTCAAGGGCGCGAAGGCGAAGAAGGACAAATAAACGACTCGTTTCTCTCTACACAATATCCCCGGGGAATTGGAAGGGAATGGTGTTGGGGGTTTGGGAATCGCGGCTACTGGGCCCACTTCATCGGTGTTTTGTTACGCTTTTTCGGGGTGTGAGCTAGTTCGCGTCTTCCTTTGTTTGCAAAAAGAAAAAAAGAATGCCATCCTGGCCGGTCACATACTCGGACAAATTTTTTTATCATTTTCAAACAGGCGCCCTTCCTTACCTTTTTCCTTGATATGTGGCTGGATCAAGCCTGTGTTTTTCCCCTACGACACAGGCACAAGAAGGAGCAACCTCCAAAACACTGAAAACCTCCGCGAATTACCTTGTTATTAAAAGATGTCGGATCCGGTGGGCGTGGACAAGGGATGAAACGTTCGGAAATCGCACACAAAAGCTTTCGATTTGTGGTCAGTAAACAGAAACCTAGCATGAATCAAGGTGTTACGGCTTAATGTTTGGTCAACAAAATCTTTTCTTCCTCTCTCTGCGCCCTGTGTAGATTCTCCGGTGATTATTTTGTTTCTTGAGATTGCTGACACGATGCCCAACGGATGTCCATGAGAGATGTAGGGGGTGCACGCAAGCGACTGGACCGGAGATGAAGAGAAGGGCCATCCAGCTCTCTTCAATGACTTGAACTAATATTCGGTTTCGTGATTTATGCTGACCTGCAGCGTGGGTATCTAACAATAAAACATCAAGCCGTATATGTACACACAGAGACCTCATGAACAACTGCTCGTCTCCAACTTGCGCTTTCTCACCAAGCACCGATCAGCTTGCAACACCAATCCTTCCCTCAGGTCACCCATCTCTCTCCACCTGGCGCTCTCATAACAAAACTGCGACCACAGCACCAGCCACCACCATCAGGTAGCCCACCCCCAACCTTGCCTCTTGGTACCGCTGCCCTCCCCACCCACAAGATGGGCGCATGCCACCCGCAGTGCTCGTTCCCTGCTCGAGTGATGCAGGTGTAATACGTCGTCTGGCCAAACTTGACGTCGTCGTCCCCGCGCACGGCACCAACGGCACGGGCGGGCCCTGGTGTGGGATCGGGCGCGAGAGGGTTATAGGACTTGGTGTAGTCGAGCCAAAACATGGATGTGCTCGTGGGAGAGGCCGCGGCGGCGACGGCCTGCGGACGGGTGGGTGTTGGCTCGGGCTTTGTCTGTTTTACGGACGATTAGTGTCTACAAGACGTTTGCTGGTGACGCTATGAGATATGGAAAGGAGTTTGCTGTTGAACATACCTCGAGTTGGGTTATGGGTGTACACAGCGTTGTGTGGAACAGGGCAAGTAGAGTGAAGAGGAAGGCGAGGATGTTTGTCCTCTTCCTTTGCGACATGTTTGCTCTCGCCATGGTGGCTCGTCGGTTCTTTGCAGAAGACTCGTCGATTGATGAAGGATGAGTGAAGGCGGGATAGAGAACAAAAAAGAAAGGGACTGGGAATGAAGTTCCTCGGGGAAAGACTCGACGCAGGGTCTTGACGAGGCGTTCTGGCCGAATTAATCGTCCCTGCTTCTCTGCAAGCCCTCTGTCTCTACGTAATGCGCTAGCCTTGGGGAAAGGTGAAGGCGGCACACGGATAGTAGACACTCTCAGAGATGGACTGAGAGGACACACTCAGAGAGATCAGTGGATGGAAAGGGGCGGAAGAGACCGAGACAACCTGACACGAACGAAGCTGAGGTGTTCGTATAAAAGCAAAGGTGGAAAGGGTGGGAGTAAACGAAAGGAGTAAAGTATTCGTTTCTCTTCTCTCGTGTTACTTGGGAATTAATCCCAAGGCGAGCAGCAGTAATATAGGGGCAAGTCGTCAAGTCATAGATATCATTAATCAGAAGAAAGAATCTGGAGAACAAAGAGTGTGAAGTGAAGGAAGAAAGAAAAGTTGAGAGGACGAAGAGAAGACAAGAATAGCAAAGAGAAGAAGGCGAGAGGATACCTCGGGCTAGATGTAAAAGAAGTAGTCTTCCCTCCACAATGAAAAATGTAAGGCTCTCGATCACCCGCCTCATCGAGCCCCTGAAAAGTAGACAACGATCAAAGCATTCATGAGGCGAAAAGAAAGCCAGATTCCCGTCATTCTGTCTTTTCATGTCAACTCCCCCACCTTGCGTACAATGATCACCAAACCTCAACTCGAATCGATTGGAGGTCGCGATTCCTCGCGCTCCCCCATCTGCCCCTCCTCCGCCCTCCTTACCACACATCCACGGAATACACTCACGCACATGGACTCTCTTAGGCACCCACACCCCTTGTCAATTCCATGACGAGGTGAAAATTCTCTCGGAAGAAGAAGAAAAAAGGGAACAGGACTATTACTTTCTAAAAGGCGTTAAGAAAAAAAAAAAAAAGGCCAAGAAACCAAGAGAAGCGCAAGCGTGTTCCCGATCAAGACAATGTCAAACACCTTGGTGCTGTTGGTGATTGGCTCGCATCGTTGCATCTCGCCCGACCAGACGGCCGTGGCCAGTGGAATTTTCTGGATCGCGCAGGCTGAGACTGGGGGTATGCAGGTGTGTGTGTTTCTGAATCTGCTCTCGGCACTCGTCCTCGAATGGACCAACGCGCACTTAAAAGATCCATAGATTGCTTGTTCGTTTCAAACCTTACCCAAAGAGAAAAAAAGAAGGAGATGAAAAAAACCCATAAATTCATCTTTTACACACACCGTGAGCTATCCCAATGACGATGGACGTCCAAGTATGGCTTTTGGACATGCCGCGGTTGGGCCAGCTCACTTCGACGCTGAGCTTGGCATTGCATCACAATGTCCTCGAAAAAGAGGGAGCGTCAGGCTTCGAGGCGAGCGATAGCAAAGAGAAGGGCTGAAAAGGGGAAACTACAGGTAAAATGTCTCACCAAGTAGTCTCCTGACAGGCAATCACTGGACTACCAAATCTTTGCGAGCTCGCCAGCGTTATTCTTGGCTTTATGCAACCTGTTTTCTTTAATGTGATGCTACGAGAATGGTCCGCCGCCAAAGAAATGCCCAAAATGACTCCCCTTTTCCGAGCGTTCGTCAAGACTCGGGATGAAATGCTTTGCCATGCCATGCGCAACCCGTTGTACGCCAAAACGGTTGTAGGACAGTTCAAAGAAGCAAAAGTGAGGACATGAGAAGAATGACGAACGACCCGGGCTATGCTAGATGTGAAAGAAAACACCAAGAAGGAAAACAGGCAGGAAAGGAAAAAAAAACAAATTGGACCCTATGTGCCCGGTTCACTCGCCGTCCTCGCAGCCGGGCTCAAGAAACTAAATCAAGCTGCTCAGCTAAAACTTGCGCTTCTTCGGCTGCTTGGCCCTCTTCTGCACCCATCCCCGCCGTTCGGGAGCCCCTCCGTCATCCCACTCTTCTGCGTCGACCCAGGCGCGCTCTCCGCCTCGCTCGTCAGGTCAATCACCTGCGATCCGAGAGGTAGCTCGAACCCGTCCCTCTCCTCCCCACCACCGCCTAAGCCGTTCTTGGCTCCATCGGCTGCTCCCTTTCCTTTCCCACTGCCCTTGCCAGTGCCCTTGCCCTTGCTCTTTGCCTTGCTCTTTTCGATCCCGCCGCTCGCTCGTCTGCCCACCCATGCAGGCTGCGATGACGCGAGCTTCTCCAACTTGATCCCGAGCAAGTTGCCTCCCGCGGGGCTGTTTTGCGATGAGGATGACGCCCGCAGTGGCCCGCTCACCTTGCTACGCGCGAGCTCTGCCGCCACGTTATCGAAGAAGCTCTCCGTAGTCCCCGGCGGCCGAATCGCCTCCTGGTTGGTTGGGATACCTGCGGCGTCTGCTGAGCTCGAGACCTCCCGCACCTTCTGGGCCGCACCGTTGGCCCCATTCGACGGGGAGACTTGATGACACGAGCCGAAATAGAGACGGGAATTCGTCTTCATCCTCGGCTTCATTCTCGCCAGCTTTTGCGGTTTGTTCTGCCTGGCTGTTCTTCTTGTGCGGCGGCTTCTTGGATACTTGCTCCTCTACTGCCGCCGCCTCAAGACCCGGTGCCGAGTCTGGGATCGCATCGTCCTGCGAATCGTACGATTCTACCCCAACAAAGTTGGGGTCAGGCTGCCCGCACCCGCTCGCCACGCTGCCCGCCACCTCGAGTCCATATGTCACATCGAGCGATGTCGTGTTCTGCGAGTGCTCCGGTACCTTCAAGAGCGACGCATTTGGCTGGCTGCTAGGTGGAAGCTCCGTCATCTCGTTGTTGCCGTCCCCGGTGCTAAACGGGTCCGAGAGGGGTACCTGCAGGTCTAGGGACATGAGTTCCGTGGCGTCGCCGATTGCCTCCCCGCCAGTGCTGCCCTTTTCACTTGGCAACGAGTCCGGAAGCTGCATTTGCGACTCCGACTCAGGCGGCTCTTGCACGACCCGCGGCTCCATCATCTCCCCAAACTTGACAGTCAGGGCCCCATCATCAGCGCCCTGGTCCCCCTCGTTGTCATCGCTGTCCACATCGTCTGGGCATTCAAACGGTTCATAGATGCGCTTGCCGGTATCAGGGTCGTACGTCTTCTCCGGTTTGTCGAGCGCTCGGTCGCGCTTTGCCAGGAGAACGTGGAGCGTATCTCCGTTTTCCACCGAAATGACCACGGCCGTGACGTCACTGACTTGGGGTTGCCACTGAGTGGCCTTGGAAAGCAGCCACCTCTTCCACGTAATCACCATGCCGGGCGCCGCGGCGCCAGCTAGCAGAGGCGGGAGATTGGCGACATCATCGGGTAAAGACACCAAGTCGTCCTGGCTCTCAGGTTCTTCCTCTTCCACGTTTTCTCCATCAGCAGGATGGGCCTCTGCCATGTTAGCGTCCTCCTGCAGGTTTTCCTGGTCCTCCTGGTCATCGTACATGCCAGCCGTGTACGAAACTTGCGTGTCGTCCACACCTTCGTAGCTTTGATCGTAGTCGTTTTGCTCTTCGTAGTAGTGAGCTTGGTTCCGCTGCTTCTTTTTCCCCTTGCCGCCTCTCTTATTCTTCTTACCCCACCACTGGTCTACCTGCTGCTGCGGGTCCCACCTCTGCACAAATGGAAACGGGGGCTCCGAGAGCTTCACGTCCTCGCGGCAGCACTCGACACCGCGAAGAACAATTTTCTTCCGCCAAGCGTCGGAATCTTCGTCCTCCTCCTCGCCCTCGGCTTCCCCGCTTTCGCTTCTATCGATGCCTTTCGCGGGAAGGCACAGGCCTGGGGTCCACGGCGAGTGCTTGCCTAAGCTGGTTCTCCTCCTCTTTGCTCTTCGGATTGCGCAGGCCCAGCGCGCCGAATAATAGGCGTCGTCCAGCCCCGAGGTCGATCCGGCGCTTGCGTGTAGAAGAGGCCGCTGACTCGGAGGCGTCGTTGGTCTCGGGACCCGCAGGGGTTCCTTCAGCTTTGTCGCCTGCAGCTCGAGTCTCCTCAATTTCACTGGCCTTTCGTTTACGTGATTCGGCGGGCGTCGGCGCGGGAGAGCTATCCCCGGCGCCGACAGAGGCCAAGAGTGCTTGCTTTCTCCTTGTAAGCTCGTCCACCGTATCGGTAGGGGCCGCGACAGCATTCGTAGCGCTCGCTGCGCTTGGGCCCGTTGGGAGGTTTAGTTCTTCAGGTTGCTCCAGACGCTTTTGTTTGGCTAGCCTACGTCTTGCATTGCGTTTCTGCGAACGGGTGCGCGGGCCAGCATCCGGATTCGCATCGGCGGCGCTTGAGGTTTGCATAATTCCGTTCTTCGTTTTGTCAGCTCCAGAAGGGTTCGCTTGGGGTTTGGCGACTTGAGCACCATTGTTCTCTCGCGGTCCCACGCCCTCTTCTGAGACCGAACCATCGCTTGAATCATCCGAGCTAGAATCATCCGAATCTGAATCTGAGCTGGAATCGCTTGAATCGTCGGAATCAGAGGAAGTATCCGCCGGGTCGGCCTCACTCGCGGAGCTGGAGGAACTATCGGAGTCGGAGTCGGAGTCGGAATCAGAGCTCGAGCCCGCGCCTGGATCCACCTCGGACGAATGTTTTGATGAAGCCAGCTGGTGGTTGATTTCAGATGGTACTACGGGGGCGCCCATTGTGCCCTGGTGCCTACTGACTCCGCCATCCTCCTCGTCCGATGATGAGTCGTCTGAGCTTGTATCAGAGCTACCAGTACCACTCGATCCGTCTGACTCGGGAACCTGGCCTACCCTGCCGCCATCCTCAAGGTCGCCTTCGGAGCTTGAGTCTGAATCCGAGTCAGAGTCAGAGTTTGACCTAACCCCCAAAAGTACGGGTGGCGGCAACGAGGCAGGTTGATGTTTGGCCCTGGGGGTATGGCCCTCAATCGTTTCATTGTCACTCGAGCTATGACACGAGCGCTGGCGCTGGCCTTCGTCTAGTCTCTGACGTTTGGCCGGGTTTGATACCGAGCGCACACTGGTGGCGAGGTGCGTGGGAATGGGCTGGTGTATCCTAAAGAGGATCGAGAACTCCTCTTTGCTGGGGTGACGCTGTTGCTAGGACGAGCGGTGTCTAATGTTTGATGAAAATGCTCTTTGTCTTCCCCGCGGGTCGAGTGTGGGCGCATGGGCCCAATACACTTCGCTGAGGTGACGGCGCTTGACTGTCAGACTCGGAGTCGAATATGGGCGGGGCCTCGAGGAGAGGAACATCTCCGCGCTCGCTCCCAGTCTCCTCGTCCGTGTTCGCTTCATCCGCCCAGTTATCATTATCGTCGCCATCCACATAGTCTGGATCTACTTCGTCGTCATCGTAATCGCTATCGTAGTCTTCGGGCGCAGCTTCGATCATGGCAGTTTTTCTCGGTGGGAGCGAGATCGCAGGCCTGTTCATCGGGGTGCGGAGCCAGGGTCTTCCAAACGCCAGACCGTCGACCAAATGCTTACCATCGATCGAGATCTGGTGCCGCCCACTCAATTTTCGCCGTCGTAGATCGTCCTCGAATAGTGGTCGGATTCTAGACAATGCGTAAGATTAGCACTTGCCGAGTCGCCCTTCCCAGACCCTATTCACAGCAAAGGGGACGGAAGAGGTCATTCGGTTGGAGAGCTTACAGCAGTTCGTCGTCCTCCTTCAAAACTTCGCAAACGGGTTGAAAGTGCAAACACTCGAATCCACCGCCCTGCATATCCCTGTACTCGACAGCATAATCCTCGAGCCCCCAATCGCCGCTCTCTAGAGGGACAACTTCATTCACGGCGGCGACAAGCCTCGCGATAGTCAGGCCCGCGCCAGGGTCGACTGTCCAAAGAAGCTTCACTTCGGGGATGCCGTTCCGGCGCACGACGAGTCGGAGGCGCATCGTGTATGGCGCAGGAAATGGGGGACAGCGCCGCGATGCCCCTAACGCTTTAGTGTTGCTTCGCCAGCCTGTCGCTTGAGCTCTTTATGATGTGTGGGACGTGGGATGTGGTACGGGGAGCTTTGACGCTTCGTGCGGGATAAGATCCCTTTATTTGGCTCTCCTTTTCGGGTGGGGTGAGCAAGAGTCGGTTCAGGGCCACGCGAAGTAAGAGTCGCAGGTGATCGGGTCTGTGTGAAGCACTCAAGGCTCAGTCGCCATCGGTAGGGGAGGTGGAGGTGTGAAGACAAATATTAAGGATTAGGTAGGAAAAAGAAAATTACACGAAGAAAGGAAGAAAGGACGTGGTGTCAACCAAAGGAGTTGAGGGGCAGCTTCAATGCAGATGGTGAGATGAGTTGGGAGCTTTGGTCTGTTCTGGAAGGCAGACAAAAAAGTTTCGAGCAAGGCGTGTTTGTCGCGTCGTTTGGGATGGAATTTCGATGGAGGACCCCCAAACTTTCCAAGTTCTGTCACTAGAGGCGTGACCGTATCAAAGAATGCCCGGGCCAGCTCAGGCTCGAAGCCCCACGTCCTTTGGAACGTGTGGCCAATCGAACCACAATCGCGCCTGCCAATCGCCCTGCTGCGAACATGCCTAGCGCCTGCCATTACTACCCCCAACAAGCTCGAGGAATGCGAGGGGCCTCACAGCGGGGCAAGACGACTTATTTTCGGATCGCAAGTGAGATCATCGCATTCCTGTCGCAAACCGAGATTCCAAAAGAAACAATGAGCACTCTTTTGGGATTAAGTATGCTAGAAAATGATGGAAGAGACCATTAGTCTCCCACATATGGTCCTCAAGGGTTCAGGAGGAGGGAAACAACCGGACGTAGAGCATCCCATAGTCATCGGCCATAGCCGCGCATTATGATATCAAGTGCTCCCAATTATCACGCAGACCTGATATCTTGACTCTAAGCCCTTGTCATAATTTGTGAACGGTATCAGGAGCCACGGAAAGCATAAGTAGTAATGATTCAATCCATCTTGTTTTCTGTCTAACCGGAGGATTACTTTAGTGTGAGCAGCGAGAATAGGTTGATGTTTTAGAGATTCAAGAGTACAATAGAGCAGCCAGGACTTTGGAGGGAAAGAGATGATTAAGCGCGTCGCGCAAAAGCAAACGAGCTCGTTCAAGTAGCTGAGGTGATATCTTTGTATAAGGGATTAGTTCCATAGCATAAGTGCTCAAAGGCTTTTAGGGAACGAGATCTCCAACGCGCTGAGGTGAATTTTAGCTCAAGATTTTATGATTATTCAACCATTTTTAGGGCCATGCAATATGAAGAGAGAGAAAAAGAACAGAAAAGAAAGAAATAAGCCACCAGTGTATACAACGCCATCCATGTATATCTGAAGGCAACATGTTGGTTCAGGGAAAACTTCTATGTAGGTACAGACCGAATCTAAAGCAGGGTAATAGAAGGAACCCTGGGAGTCGAGGTATAAAGATTGATGTGGGAAAAGAGCAAATAAATCATCAGGAGCAAACCAGCACCTCTCTAAAAATCAAGCATGTGGCCCATCTTCTTAATCTGTGAGGCGGAGCAGCGATGGTTAGTATGCAATCACCAAGTGAGAAGAAAGAGGAGGGGTTGGTTTGGAGGAAACTAGAAGAGGGGAGCAACTCACCTTGGTTTCTAGATAGGCCTGGACTTCGTTACTGCGGATACCCTTCTCGCCCCTCCAAGACAGAGGGACCATTGCCACCCTCTCCGTCACCACCACCTCCCGGTTGGGTCCCTCCACGGCGCGGACCTTGTCCGGGTTGTTGGTCAACAGGCGGATGTGCTCTTGCCCGAGATCGCGTAGCATGGCTGTCGCAAGGCCGTAGCTTCGCGCGTCGGCGGGATGCCGGAGCAAAAGATTCGCTTCCACGGTATCGGAGCCAAGATCCTGAAGGTTATAGGCCTTGAGTTTCTCGCCCAGGCCGATACCACGGCCCTCCTGGCGCAGGTAGACGATAATTCCCCGCTCGTGTTGTCCGGGTGGCTCATGAGGCGCGCCGCCTCGTCTAGCTGCTCCCCGCAATCGCATCGCGCCGACCACGCCGTCTCTCCAGTATAGCACTCTGAGTGGATGCGCACCAGAGGGGTGCCGGAGGGAGTAGGAGCGGATGTCTCTGCTGTCTCCTCGCTAGATCCGGAGGTGACAGCCTGGCTGGTGGTCCTTCCAGGGAAGAGTTTGCCGACGTATGCGCCACGGATCATGCGGTCCATTTCGGTTTCGCCCGGCCTCGGCGCATCGAGCGAGGTGCTACGGATGTGGGGGCCGAAAACAATGGCCAGGTGCTCCTTGTTATCTACGTCATTGGTGTAGAGGTGCAAAAACATTTCCGACCCCGAGACGGTAGGGATACGGGCGCGTACGATACATTCGACGTTGGGAAGAGTCTCCAAGAGCCGAGGTCGCTTCGCGCCGCAGCCGCCGCTCGGGATGGAGCTGTCCACGGGCACGCTCTTTAGCCGGGGTACATTGCCCTCGGTAGCTGGTGTACCCGGGGTCGCGGGCGGGGTGAATGAGGGGGAGAGCAGGGAGGGGGAGGCGGAACCTCCCGCGGGAAGCTGCGATGGTGGCGGAGGAGGGCGCGGACGCCGGAGTATCTAGGGTTAGTCGGTCGTGGGTCGGGATGGGACTGAGGATCGTGGGCTCGCCTGAGGAGGGGTGGGCGGCCTGGTTGGGGTTTGCCGAGTTGTCCGTCGTCTCTTGAGCGGGTTTCGAGGGTGGCGAGTAGAAGGAGGGCAAGTCGGATGTCGAGGATTCCTGGGGCCAGCGCTGAGAAGCGCCAGACGCCTCGGCGGTAGACTGGGTCGGCATGGTGATGAGGGGGTTTGCGAAATCCCCGCGCGAGGTGTGGATGTGTCACAGCAATCAAGCACGACAGCCGGTCGTCTACTTGGAGCGTTCCCTTGAGCCGGAATGTAAAGGGAGCATTCAAAAATAGCGGCTTGGGAAGGGAAGGAAAAAGAAAAGGAGAGAGTGGTACGATGACGTGTAGTGATCAATTGAGAGGAATTGGCAAATGAGCTCTTGTGAAAGAGGGGGTAGCCAAAATCGCGAGGTTGATTGAAGGTGGAGATGGGCAAGGGATTCTTAGAAAACGGGTCCAAAGTGTCAAAAGGCCGACGTTCACGCACTCTGGCTCGGTAAAACAGCAAGAAAAAAAAAAGTCTCTCCTTGTGGCGTCTCCAACGAACGGCAAATGCTCCCCGCAATAGTTGCGGACAAGCGAACTAAAAAAGGCGCCGGTTGGATGGTATAAGGGAATTAGTCAGGGTTCTTCTCGATGACGGAACTTGAGGCCAAACCGGCGATTCCTTTTAGAGAGCCCTTTTTCGGTAAGCTGATGTACAGCTACCTAGCGATACTAAGCCGAATATATGGGGAGAGAAGAGAAAGTGACACATTCACTTGCTCGCTCTGGACCCCGGGATCCGGAGATTCTGGCCGAGGAAGTTGCGACTCGTGTGCCCAGAACAAAAACATGGGGTGAGGGGTCACTCTCCCAGACAGCACCTGCTTCTTTCCAAGCGGGGACGGCGGGGCTACCGTCCGTGGAGGGTACCAATACCCATGAAAATGAGCAGCGCAGGGTGAAATACCGCGGGAGCGCACTGAACCGAATTGAGGAAAAGCGTCTTACCAATCCACATGCCGAATGTCACGCATGACAGACAACTTTCAAATCTTAGCTAATCAGCTAAGCATCTTCGTGAGCGCCATGCCGCTGATTGACCGCTGATCGAGAGTTCTCCCTCTGCGCCAGAGTTGAAGGTAATGAATGATATTTGAGGATTTTGAAAGCCTTGATTCTGACTGCAAAATTCAATCTCCGTCATTTATCAAAGGCCCGGTCCTGGAGGGAGAAGTTTTGTCAATGATCAATATTTCCGCCCATGTTCCTGATAAGCAGCTGGATCGCCAGTCCCCACCGGCGCCCACCTCGCGGTCAAAGCCGGAATTTACGATACGGAATGGAGATAAAGTGAGGAATTTTGTGCGATGGTAAGAGTTATTTCTAACGACACATCCATGGGTGCATGTATTTGATAAACATGGTCGGACATGGTTTTGCGGATATAGACCTTTACCAAGCATGTGAGGCTTGAGATTTTACCTGTCCATCGAAACTAAAACTCCAGGATGCGGCAAAGTAAGAATGTTTGTGCCTGGCCATTCGATAGCAGCGTGTGGATCTAAGTCTAGTTTCTTGGATACGCCTGCTGAAAGACCAACCCAGTCGGAAAACACCACTTGGTTGGCAGCGAACCTGGTGCCTGGTCCGGCTCCAAGGTGAGGGATGGTCCGGTCGACGGGCAAGGTTACGACCGGGTTCCTCGATCAAGAATGACTGTTGAGGAGTAGTTATGAACAAGGCCTTTCGACCAGTTCGATTCTGTCTACATGGTGTTTGCTGCAGGGTCCGACTCAAATGCTTCGACGTGGTTCCGCTCATCGGTCACGGACAATCCACACCAACGATCGCCACAGATGTGGGGTGACCTTTGCAGATGCCCTCAGCCAGAGCAATATCGGAGGAACAAAGAATCCAAAGTCGACGAAACACTCGAAACACCTTCGAGCCCTATTTTCCAGACAGTCTTGTGCGTTTCGACTTTTTTTCCTTATTCTCCTGTGCACTATTACTATCGCCCCTCGACAAGTCTTTTCCTAGGCAACGTCTCTGGCTTGCGTCTTCTTGGTCGACTTTCCCGGATTGATTGGCTCTGACGCTCCGTAACTCCTGGCGACCCATTTTCGGATCGGTCTCCTCCCACCACCACGGGCCACCCACGTCGCCGGACCTTGAAACCGCGTTCGCAGTGTTGTTGTGGAATATGCAACCACTCCTGCGCCCTCTGCCCACTCGTTGGGCTTGCAGTAATTGAATGTAGAAACGAGTCCTCTTGTCGCCCGGTCGCCACTCGCCCGTGACGACAGGCGACTCCAGAGTCTCCCGCCCCTCCCCTAGTCCTTGGGCCCCTCCCCGTAGACCCCGTTGCATGCACGTCGACGATGTCCTATCGCGGTTGTGAGATCAAAACAAGCAGATCGGTCCACGTTGGGACGATTATTGTATTTAAGTTGGGCACTCTTCCTCGCCACGTTGTCTGATTTTGTTGGACCAGCTCAATTATCCCACTGTTTTTTTTTCTTGTCTTGTCCTCCGTCTCGTTTCTCTTTGTATCTGTCCCGGCCCGATCGACGGCCCCTCCCTGCTTATATACCCTCCAACTCAAGTCCCGGTTTCGACTCAACATTCTTTTTCCTATAAGTCGGTTATACACATCGAACTACGATAATAAGTTTGCACCTGGTCCAACTTGGCCAACTCTTTCATTTTACGGAGAAATTCCCCGTCTGTTGCTATTTTGCTTCGTTTTGAGCTCTCCTGTCTCTCTCTCTATCCCTCTCTTTTGAGTTGTTTTTCTTCGCCACCCACATATTGGCGATTTGACCCTTGCGGCTTTGCTTCAACTTATACCCCTTTGCGCTTTGTTTTCGTCCTCACCACTTCGTTCATCGTACGCGCATCTTTGTGTGGACTGTTTTTACTCTCAGCCATCGCCATCGTTATCGCCATCGCTCGCCCCTCCCCTCCTTCCTCCAGACACCGTGACAATCCAACCAACACAATGGATCACTCCGACTTCATCGCCTTCCTCTTGCCCTCCTACGGCAACGCTCTGGCTATGCAGGCCATCCAGATGCGGCAAAACAAGAAATTCGTCACCCAGTCCCTCCCCGACCTGCTGCCCTCCACCTTCACCACCACCGCCTCCACCTCCACCTCTTCCGTCACGAGCCTATGCGGACCCTTTGGCTCCTCGGCCCCCGCGCCGGCTCTCCAGCTCCGCTTCAGCCACAAGCCCAAGTCGCACCTGGGCTTTCTCCTCGGCACCGATGCCTCCGCCTGCGACATCGTGCTGCCCAAGCTGCCCGGCATCAGCCGCCGCCACTGCTACATCACCTTTGACACCGAGTCGCGTCTCGTCCTGCGCGACACCTCCAAGAACGGCACCGCCGTCTGGTACGATCACCATAGCAACGGCGACCGCCGAGGCGCGTCCTGGGTCCTCAGCAGCGGCGGCTCCTACGGCTTCCCCGACAGCGTCCGCCGCATCGTCATCGACATCCAGACTGTCCGTTTCCAGATCGTCGTCAACGCTCCCCTGCTCGACATCGACGGCTACGTGCAACGCGTCGACGATTTCCTCGTGGGCCTCGCGCAACGGCGCGGCTTGCCTTCTTCCTCGGCCGAAGTCGAGAGCGGCGAGCTTCGCGATATCGCGCCCCTCTTCTCCGCGACGCGTGGCACGTCCCCGGGAAGGTCGGCGAGGTACGTCAAGTACACGTTGGAGGCGGAGGACGGCGCGTCGCCTCCTCAAACCTTTCTCTGGAACACCGCTCGTCCCTGGGACCCTGTTATTCCTGTCAGCGAGTAGCCACGGCTTCTTTCGTAGGTTTCTTGCCCATCTGGTCGGCCTGGTGTTAAGTTGGGTCTTTTGGTTCTTGGTTGGATGGGCGTTCTCCGATGGCCTATGTGTATTATGGGGAAGATCATACCCCTCTCTCTTTAGTTTCCTTGATAATGCTCCCCTTTTCTGTCTTTTCAGCACCATCCCTGATCCCCATCTGCTTCACTCTTTTCATTCGCCCCCCTCTCTCTCTCTCTCTCTCCTGCGCGCCTTGGGCGTAAGAAATAAATACTAGAATGGTCGCCGTTAACAAGGCGGAAACCCGTGTGATGGATAACATTCCTTTTCAGAAACAAGATTCAGTACTGGTTATCTTTGCGTGCTTGGTGGAAATCCCCGTAATTAGATTGGGCAGAATGAGACTTAGGTCTCTCGGTTAGTTTGTCGCTGATACCCCTAGTTAGTTGCCGCTCCCTCAAGAATTGACCTATATCCACTCCTTAATCTTCCCTGGATTTTCACCCATTGGTGACGGGTTGTCGTAGATGAGGAATTGCTGTCCGTTGAAAACGTATGATTGTGAGCACATGACCCTGGACTCGAAACAACGCCTGGGCAAAAGCCAGTCTATTGCAGCCGTATGCTTGGTAAATTGTTACAAGGAATCCGTATACACAAAGAGTAGGATCTGACATCCTCCGAGACCGCCGTCCGTCCCTCTCGCTTTTCGCAAATGTCTTCACATCCCCTCGCTTAGTTGCTCCTCGCTCCGTCCTTCGCCGCTCGTAGCTCATCCATCTTGCGGACTCGCTTCTGGAACTCGTCGTATTGGCACTTTTCGTAGCTATGCCTCTCGTCCTAAAGAAAATCCAAAGTCGCAATGGCGAAAGGAATGGTTAGCAAGCCTTCTTCTCTGCGTCTACTCTCGCTCCATCTACGATTCTCTTTCCCCGACGAGGTCCGCAACTACTACGAGCCCGAAAGGGGTGGGAAGAGTATAAAGGGATATTGGATCGGGGCGTGGGCTCACGTTGCACTTCCAGGGCAGGTAGTAGGAGTCGTATCGGCATCGGTTAAGAGGGATAAGAAGGTGGGCGCAGCTGTCACGGTAGGCGATGGGGAGCTTGGCATCCCGCATCTCCTCGCGGGTCGCCACTAGAGGGTTAAGCCATAATGTTAGCCGTGCGGTCTTTCTATCTGGGAGAGCGAAAGGTTCGGGAGAGGTGCGAGGGTGAAGTCTTGACTAGACCCGAGGGCGGTGGAGGTTGTCGGGGCAGGATTGGAGGGCGGTAGGGGTGGGGATATCGAAGAAACATACGCCTAGGGGCCTCGGTGGAAGAATCGGACGTCATCTTGGGTGGGTGAGGTTGCGCGAAGCTCAATGGAGGAGGGTGATGGAGGTGCTCGAAGTCGTCTCACCAGCAATTCTTTTCGCGATGGTGGTTTGCGGATCTCGGAATCAGAGTGACTGCCCTGCCAGATGCTAGCATTACGTGGACGCTGATTGGTCAATTACGCCTTGTTTTCGAGGCATTTCTTCGACAACTTATGTGTTTGTGCAACTGCTGACAGCTGCCTGAAAATGTACCACATTGGCCATTTTCTTGCCCAAACAGGAATCGAAATGATGCCCAAATAAACGCTGGAAGGTTGATAATAGACGTTGTGATTTCTGGACAAATCTAGATATTAATCTTGAAGTTTTATCCCAAAATTAACAGTATTTTGGGCAGGTGATATTGGCTCTCACCTGGAGGCTATTGATGGCAGTGATGTGGAGCCTAGCTCTGCTCACCTGCCATGTCTTGGGGTTTTAATGTAATATCTCGACTCTGGCAGAACTGTAGCTACTTCAACTGCGACGGGCTGTTGTTGTCAAGTCGAAATAATGACCCATAGATATTTCTATCAGATACAGGTGGATTATGATGTCTACACTATCTCGGGAATGTACCAAAGTAATAAATTGACATATCCACTTCAATGACTGTACATATATTGGCTCCTGAGACCTGTGCAGTGTCAGCAGCTTTCAAGGGAACATCGTGTGAGCTTGTCCATCTGCTCCTTCCCCTTTCGGGCGCCACCGTCGTTATAAGCATTCGATTGATGTCTGAAGGATGCCGCATCTTTCCTCGGGCAATATTCTAATCTGATGAGATGCCCCAGTCGACTTGATTCCCACTGATGAGAGGCATCAAGTATCGAAGACAAGATCTATTCTATCCCTCTTCTCCGACCCTCTATGGCCATACCCGGACCTCTAAACAAGGCTTGCTGGGGCAAACCGAAATTTACAATCTATAGAGAAAGGGTTATATCTTATCTCTGTTTTCTCTCTAACACGCCAGGAAATGCCCAAGTACAGAAGGAAACGAATCACCAAACCTATCAATGGCGAGTGCAGGTCACCTCCTCCAATTGCTGCGTATAGACACAAAGTGCACCAGCTCACGCCCGACCCAGAAAGCCTGCGGATCTCCTGACGCCTCAAGCGACCGCTCTTTCCTAATCCTCGTTGCCTTGAATTTCCTTTGCCTATTACCGACTTTGGAAAGCCAAGGCAAAACGTGTTGCAGATCATCGCCGTGCGCCGACCAGCTATAGGCGCCCAGGCATCGACAGGCCTTTCGGCATCCCTCGTTCTCAGGCAGACGCGAGGCCGTTGATGCCTTATCATAATACTATATATACCCATATCACTTGATATATTCTAACTACTGTGTGGAGCGTTGTTTTTTACTTTTATCGCTCCATCGCCACATTGCTGAGATCTCTCCCCATCAAATCGTCCTAGATCCTTGGCTTGGTATGTTGACCCTCAAAGGGACCATGTCGTGATTGGCATAAGAGCGGAAGAGAAAGGACAAAAAACGGGAGAGAGGAAGCAAGTCACGGAGAAAACACGGAGAAAAGGGATGTCCCGGAAATTCACACCAGAAAATCGGAGCCTGTTGCTAATACCCGTCATCACTAGATAGACCATTCGAGAGATCGCATCTTCCCGGCATCCCTTGCGAAAGGCTCATTTCTACCCCGTCTCAAAACTCATATGCTTCTATGTCCCAGTCAGCCGATATGTCGGTATTGTTACTGACTGCTAACAACCCTGGCGCGGGCGATGGGATCATCCCGCTAGGGGTGGATATCGAGTTCTGAATACCGTCAGGACGCGAGGCCTGGTAGGCGTAAGTTTGTGTCCCTTGATCGAGTTGGTTGCTGCTCGCCGGATATAGCCACATTGGATAGAATCTCATTGCCGAGGGCGACACGGAACCGGAGTAAGATGCCACCTCAACAGTGCTGCTCTCATCACATCGTGAGTCCACGGTGGATGGGCACCTACTACGGCCATACTCAGGCCCCAAGAATAAGCGTTGCTCGTTGTAGCGCTCTGGATCTGTCTGCCAGTGCCCCAAATGGGGGTGAAGGCTGTTGCATCCCCTGTTGGAATACGCTGACGTTGGAAGTGAGGATAGGTCGGCTGATGTGTCCTGCAGGAAGACAAGAGACGACGGGTGCTCCGTGAGAACCTTCGGAAGGATTCCTCTGCCCTCGTCTCTCTGGACTTCTTCTATCCTGCCGTGCAGCCTGTGCCGAAACTCTTGTTGCCAGCGCTGAGGTTGCTCTGCGAGAACAGCTCGGAAAATGGCTTGGCTCTCGTCTCTTAGTACTTCGTCTATCCTACTGACTAGTCGGTACCCAAACTCTTCCCTCCAGGGCTCAGATTGACGCTGCCCTTGTTCGCTAGCACAAGGGGGATATTGGCTAACAAGAGGGGCATCGGTTGAGGCGGCCAACCGGAAGATCCGAGACGAGCACTCTGCGAGAACTGCTTCAACAATCTTTTGACTCTCGTCGCGTCGCACTTCATCCATCCTGTTGTTTGGTAGAGGCCGAAAGTCTAGCGTCTGTCTCCGGAGCTCAGGTCGACGTTTCCTTTGCTCGCCAGGATCATCACCCAACGGATCCTGTCCAGGACCACGGGGATTCCTGCTTCCAACCTGTGCCTCTGTGGATAGTTGAGATATGGCAGTGACAGTTACATCTACAAACGCCCGTTAGCTTTATGGAAGTTGAACGGTCTTTTGAACAGGGATGTAGGGCCCCCGACATACATCTCTCCTCTGGTACCACCTTTCCAGGAAATAACAGTGCGTATATCTCGCCCCATTTCCAATAGCCCGTGTGTTTCTTGCCCTTCATTTTAGTCACGCTGCGTATCTTCATCGCTACATCTCGCGGGTAGATGTGGTCGGCGCCTTTTTTACAATTGCAGGGCGGCGGTTGACCAGGCCGTGTATGTGGGGGATCCGCAGAGGGAGCCGGTCCTTGGTCTTCATCACCGTCGTCACCGCACGCTAAGGGCTCGTGTTTAGGGCAGCCATAGTGAAATCGTTCTAGGTGCTGCCTTTCGTGAGGTTGTGTTAGTATGGCTTCGTCTTGGAGAAGAGGGAGATCGACCTTGGGGAGAGCCTAGGACTTACCTGCATTGGCTAATATTCGGAAATCCCCAACCTTCACAGGCAGCGCGGCGATAGTCTAGCCTACTACCATCGGGAAAACGTCGAAAATAAGGACACGTGAAGTTTCGCTCGCTCTTCTGGGACTTTGGATTCTTCTTGCCCCCGGTATGGCCGTCAAAGTCTTCGTTATCTTTGTGGCCAACGTCATTTTCACCGGTAGCTCTCTTTCGCTTTTTGGGTTGGCCTTGGCTCTGCAACCCTGCTATTTCGGGGTCAATTGGGAGCCATCGTACGCTCCGCCCTCGGGCTGATGAGGACCCGACGAGGCTTGCACATTTTCATGGCCAGGCCCAGGACTTGAGAACAGTTGGCTAAACTTTTGGTTGAAAGCGGAGAGAAACCGTTCGACACCAGTGGGGAGCCGATCATTTACGGGGTTGTGCCTCTCGTCTCGCGTGGCTCGGTGGCGCTCATAAACATTGCCGTCGTCACCCTTACCTTTGGGTACCCTCTGAGATGAGACGGGCTGATGCAAGCCCTGTGGAATTGAAACGCTGCCTTGAGCTGACGTTGATGCACCAATGGAGGGTCCGGCCTCAATGAGGGGGAGACCACGGGCCATTGAGGAGTAGACTGTCGAGAATTTCTCCAGGATGCGTGCTTTCACCCCGGACCCGGAACTGGCCCATGCTCGAGGTAACGTCTACCCTGTTTAGATTGTGTTGCTGCACCACGACATCCAAAGCCTGATACTGGCCTGGTGCAAACGCGGCATCTATAAGCTCTACCGTTCCTCGTTGAAGCTCTTCTCCCATGCGCTGTGGAAGACCACCGCCTAGGAGGCTCGCGTCATCGATCTGGTGTGAGATTGATGGGGGTGGCTAACGACAGACAGCTCCAGGCCCATGAGCGCCTCAATGTCGCCTGTTGGTCCCTGTAGCCCTCCTGCCGCCCCGGTGTCGGACTCAGGGAGCCCATTGGTATTTGGGGGCATTGCGCTGCTTCTCCTTGCGCCGCTTTGTCTCGAGTCCCGCTTGTAGTTGTGGCTCGGGCTGTGCCTCGCGCTTGGCCCACTGGAATGGGGGTGTAAGGTGTCCATGGGCGCGGCAGCAAAACAAAAAAAAAGAAAGAAGGAGAAAAGGCCCAAGACAAAACAAATTAATTATAAGGGACGATACGGTATGACAACACACTGTCGAATTACCAAGATGAAGACGAGAGAAAGAGAGAGAGAGAGAGCTGGTTCAAAAGGAAGGCGAACCCTGACATATTAGGACAAGGCGACAGCGATGGTAGCTGCAACTCAACATATGTTGAGTATACGTCAAGTCCACATATGTGTGTTTTTTGGGACCATCCAGCCCGGGATCGTGTTCCGGGAATATATGCCCGATTAGACGGTGTGCTACACTCTTCCACAAGCGGCACAAGAGGGAGCTTGGAGCTTGACATCACTCCCTTCACCCCTTCAGTCCCTTCGAGATGTTTAGGTCGTGGAGAGCTTTCGCGAGAGATTGACCCATCCATCCAATCGCTCAATCGCCAATGCTGCCCAACAGGCGCAGTGAGGAATCAAGACAAGCCACCAAACCAGCACCAACCAATGGCGGCGCAAGGCCCCCCTTTCCAACCCAAGGCCCAAGAGACAGAGGCAAGATTCCTTTCTTTTCAATTGTGGCCCTGTTTGGCGAATTGTTCAAGGAATATTTCGTCTCTTAACTTGTATCAGTCCCATCGAGTATCTGTCTCAAGGCCTGTCCTTGTGAATGATCATGATCCTTCTTGCTAACCACAATAAATACTAGAATGCTGCGACGGTCCTCTGTGGTCATCGGCAAATGCCCTCGTTTCGAGATCTATCGCTCCTTGTATGCCAGGCAACCATACGAATACGCGCGTGTTTTGTGGGGGGGAACCACACCAATGTGCAGTCTTGAGCTGTCCGGGGTGGCGTCTGAATGGTGAACGGCCTGAGGCACCGCGTGCAGTCCATGGATTTCTATGGACCAGATCCATTAGATGGAGCTGAACGGGAACAGCCTCGAGATAAAAACACAAAAAACAAAAGTCCTTACCTCATTGTCGAACCCCGTCAGTCTCCTCGTGACCCCCGGAAGGCAGGTAGATTTATTGGTGGGACGAAGGGGATCCGTGCTATTTCCTATGCTCCCGAGCAGGCTGTATGCCATGACTATAAACTCAACCTCCTTGGCGAGGTAAAGGGTTGGGTTGGGCGATGTATGTTAGGGTGGCAGTTCGATGTATGCTAGGGTCGCAGGTCGATGTATACTAGGGTGGCAGTTCGAGTGGCGGCGCAAGGGTCTGGTTCGCCTGGATACATGCCTACATGAGCAAGCTGACGAGTCAGACAGTGCAAACCGGGCGCTTGATCCGGGGCTATCATGCATCATCGTTCAAACCCGTTCTTCATGGACCAGAGAGAAATCGGCAGATGATGGATGTCGGAGCTGGTAAAACTGTGCCATTGATTTGGGGTCGTCGTCAGAAAGCCGGAAATACTTCCCAGCGGTCTTCCGACCTAGCTCCCTTACATCCTATCTCCGGTTGTCAAAGCTGCGGCTAATTTCAGTCCCCGTACCTGGGTACGGTGGCTTCGAATGTGCCTCCTCGAGCGTTGTCGAGGTGTTGAAACTCTCAAGGCACCCTCCGTAGCGGTCCGCCTTTACAACGTGATAGGAGCCACGTACGAAGATTCTCCATGGATATATACATTTTGCGCGATTGCAAGAGTGTGGAGTGGACAGGGTCCGGAGCAGCGAGTCGGGTTGGAGAGAGGAGAGAGGAGAGAGGAGAGAGGATTGGCCGCCACGGTTCCCGTGTCAGGCGCAATCGAGGCAAACCGTCTTTCCCTTGTGGCCGGGAAGCGGTAATTGGCGACGAGAGAAGGCTGTTCATGTTGTGCTTCTAATAATCTAAGAGGCAATTGACGCGGATGATCGTCAAGTCAACCCTTTCCGATTGCGACATGTTCTCGAGATGAGTCAACGAGACCTGGGGCGCCAGCTTTGGTCGTGCAAAGGCTCCATTGGGACGTCACGCTCATCAAGGCTCGTTCTCGATCCGGAAATGTCCACACTTGAGATAGCGCCACAAGGATTCATGCGTCTAGAAGGGTGAATAGGTGTCTAGGACGATGGATGGGTCATGTTCGCCTTTTCCCCCTTTCCCCCTTTTCTCTTTCTTTTCCTGCATCATCTTCCTACCCAACTCATCTTGGGCTTGAGAGGCGCCAGCAGATAGAGGGTAAGACGCGGAAGGCCGCCCCAAACACTGCTGCAAGGCATCCATTGGATTGATATGCATCCACTATAACCAGATACCGAGTACATGGATCCGGATAAATATAGTATACATAACTGACTTAATAGTTACAGTGGCGGGAGGTGGTAGTTTTCCAACCTCGAATAGCTAACGACGTGTTAAGCTGCACCCTTGGATGGCTTTCTGGTGGCTTCCCCAGCAAGCACCACAAGCAGAAATATCAAGGTAGGCCTCTCAAGCATCAGGCTTTTGTTGAACGGCAGGAGCAGATGCAGCTTGTCACGCACACGCACACGCACACGCACACACACGCCCACACGCCCACACACTCGACGCACAAATACACACACACGCCCACACGCCCACACACGCGCACCTACTGTCTTTCTAGTACTGCTAACGCCAACTTGATTTCGGTTACGGGCGGTCTCCGACGGGACACTGGGGGAAGTTCTTGGTGTCTTTTCATCTTGATAGGAAGTGTATTATGATGCAAGGTGGGCTTCGATACGCCCACACACGCATACACACGCATACACACACACATACACAGATACACACACATAGTCACTACAGGTGCAGACATCAATAGCCTAGTATAACATGAAACGGTGCATGACCAAAATAGTGTCCAGTAGATATTATTACGATAGGTTTTCGGGGGAAAAAAGGTATGGCTGGAGACTGTCTTGGCCCGGCATCCTCTATCTCCTTCCCATACTCGTGCACACACACACACACGCTCTCTCTCTCTCTCGACTCTTTCAACGCCACTTTAAGCATCAGCAATGATGATGTCGGCCGCAATCTCGGCAATACCGTAGACGGCGGTCTGGATATGGGCCGAGATGAGGAGGGGGATGATGCTGGCATCGACCACACGGAGGTTCTCGGTGCCGTAGACCTTGAGGGTGGGGTCGACGACACCGCCGTCAGCCTTGGGCAACATGGAGCAAGTACCGACGGGGTGGAAGATGGAAAGAGAGGTCCTCTGCGCGAAGCTGGTCCACTCCTCGTCGCTGCCGGGGCCCTCCACCTCGGCCGGGTCGTAGGGAGTCTCCCAGAGGGAGGCCATGGGCTCGGTGGCGGCGGCCTTGCGGGTGTACTTGACGGCCTCGACGACGGCGCGGAGGTCGTGCTCGTTCTCGTAGAAGCGGGGGTTGATGATGGGGTTAGCGGTGGGGCTGGGGTTGGCGGGGTTGATGTGGAGGCTGCCGCGGGCGAGCGGGTGCATGAGCGCGGCGATGAGGGTGAAGAGCTGGGTGCCGAACAGGGGCTGGTGGCGGGCGGGTAGCCCTTGGCGCCGGTGTAGCCGTCGGAGAAGATGATCTCGACCTGGGGCACGGTGGCGTCGTCGAGGAAGGCGACCTTCTTCTGCGTCACGGGGTGGTCATCGGCGGCGGCGACGGCCTGGGCGAGGGTCTTGAGCTCGGCGCCCTCGTCGGCGACGACCTGGTCCCAGGTGAGGAAGGCGTAGCCGGAGCCGGTGTACATGTAGGCGGAGCGCTCGCCCGCGTTGTAGAGGGCGAGCTGCTCGGCGGCGTAGGTGGCGTTGGCGCGGATGTTGTCAAACGAGATGTAGCCGGGCTTGAGGTGGTACGAGGTCTGGATGCGCAGGTGGTCCTGGAGGTTCTCACCGACGCCGGGGAGGTCGACGACCTGCTCGATGCCGGCGGCGGAGAGGACGTCGGCGGCGCCGATGCCCGAGAGCTCGAGGAGGACGGGGGACTGGATGGCGCCGGCGGAGAGGACGACCTCCTTGCTGGCGCGGATGACGGTGCCGTCGGCGAGGGTGACGCCGGTGGCGCGCTTCTTGGTCTGCTCCGTCTTGCCGGAGGCGAGGTTCACCTTGGCGACGGTGGTGTCGGTGCGCACGCGCAGGTTGGAGCCGGCGATGGGCAGGTAGGCGTTGGCCGAGTAGGAGCGGACCCAGGCCTCGGGCTCGATGCTGCTGGGCTGGTACATGACGCCGAGCGGGTCACCGGCGAGGGACTCGAGGTTGGGAGACACGCCGAGGGCGCCGAGGGCGGGGATGAAAGTCTCCTGCTGCTCGGGGATGTAGCGGTTGACGACGGCCTGGACGGGGCCGCTGTCGCCGACGCCGGCGGAGCCGTATGTGTCCGTGTTCTTGCCGGTGAAGGTCTCGGAGCGCATCATGGCCTCGATCATGGTGTCCCAGTTCCAACCGGGGTTGCCGAGCTCCTCCCACGCATCGTACTCGGCCGCGGCGGCGCGGTCGTACGACATGAGGTTGAGGGCGGAGGAGCCGCCGAGGACGCGGCCGCGGTTGTAGCTGAACACGCGGCCGTTGGCGCTGGGCTGCGCGACCGAGGTGAAGTTCCAGTCGTACGTCGTGCCCAGGGTCGAGCCGCGCATGCCGGGGATGTTGATCTTGGGCTCCTGGGGCGCCGCGGGGCCGGCCTCGAGGAGGAGGACGCGGGCGTCGGGGAGGCCGAGGGAGAGGCGGGTGGCGAGGGCTACGCCCGCAGTACCGCCGCCGACGATGATCTGTGGAGTGGGGGTTCACATGTCTGCGTTAGCGTTTTCTTGAAAAACTTGTTTGATGACTTCTGAACACACGAGGACCCTTGAAATCGGGAGAGCGGCGCGCGCGTCGGCAAGTGCGGGTGCGGGGGAAGGGTGGACAAGGAAATGGAGGGTCAGAGCGGGAGGTATGACGGATTCCCGCGCGTTTATCTGGCACGACGGGAGATGTGGGGATCTTTGATTTCGCGGGAATCCGGGCACGGGAGAACGGCCACACGATAAGAGAGAAGGAATAGTGTATATGTGTGTGTGAAGGTGGGTAGAGCCAAGGGAGGTCCGTGGATTTTTAGGGGGTGCTAATCTGGCTGAAGTCGAGGCTGGCCTCGATGGCGATTGTCACCGGCAGTTGAGAGACACAGCTCGAGCTAGAGCTAGAGCTGCTCCCGTCCTCTTTTCAGTGGCGCACGACCTCCCGCGATCGACCGGCAGCGGGTGAGACACGAACAGCGCATGTACAACGCCCGCGAGGAAAGAAAACAAGAAAGCAAGCCCTCGGAAATAAGAAAAAGAACAACAGGAGAGGGGAAAAGGAAAGAGCAAAACAAAACAGAAAGACCTACGTAGTCAAAGACCTCATCGCAAGGCTTCGCCAAGGCGGTCGCCGACAGGGCGAGAAGGAGCGCTGTAAGCTGCATGATGGGCTAGGCACTTCTTCTTTCCTTTTCCCTTTCTAAGTCTTTTTTCTTTCTTTCTTTCCCTCTGCTTCGCGAGAGAAATGTCCCAGAATACTTGACTACTACGGCACTTCAAAACTCTTTTACGAGTCGCGGTGCTATAGGAGCGGGGAGGGAGGAAATCTGGAAAAAGGGGGGACTGGTTCCTTTCTCTTTGTTTGTCGTCTTCGAAGGGGCGGAGATACGCGCGAATCGAAGGCGGGGAGGCGAAGAAAAGAGTGTGGGAGGAAAAAGAAACGAGAACGAGGAAAACCAAGAAAAAGAACGACGGAAAAGCAATTCAGCCAGAAAAGGAGCGTGGGTGGGTAGCTAACAACAAACGAGTGTAATGGCTGGTTGGAGAGGAGAAGGAGAAAGAGAAGAAGGGAAGGGGAGCGGGATGGAGTGAAGGAGGTGCGAGAATAATAATCCTAATAAGAGCGGCATGATGGAGGGATCGCATGAGGGAGGCACAGGTGAACCACTGTTGGATCCTGACCCAACAGGTCGGGAATGGGAATTACGGCGATGCGATAATACTATGCTAGGCTGGGGGGGATAGGCAAAGGGAAAGGATCCCCACGGCGAGGCCATGAGCAAAACGTCAGTGCATTTCCACGCTATTATCCGTTGGCCGCAAACGTGCGGACAGTTTATTGCCTGTTCAATGGTCACGATCATGGTTACATGGCCGTGATTCCGTGGGCATCGTGGGTCAGCCAGACGAATGTGGACAAGTCTACTCTCTGTCGGAAGATTACAAGACGATGGAAGGGGCGGGATTGGAAGGAAATATGGGGGAGGACGGCCATTGTACGGATGGCACGGCCGCGAAAGGCAACGAGGTGCCGGGCTTGGCGGTGGTCAAGGAGTGTAAATGGAAATTTCGCGTGGCCTCTGGGATGGTCGAAAGGCACAAGGGTAGGGCCATCTCCACTGCCCTTTGATCACCTTGTGATGACGAGTCCCTTTTATTTTGCAGGGGAGTCTCCAGGTTCCCCTCGGACTCTCGCTCTCTTCATAAATCCCACAAGGCAGGGTTACGCTCTCTTTTCTTACCGATCTGTCTCTTGCAAGCGCTTCACTGTGTTGTCCCCGTTTCAAAACGCTGACAGCTCGCATTGTCAGTTGTAATGCGAAAAATTGCATCAACGCGGGAGGACAGGGGGCCGGAAAGAGACAATGGCGTTGGTTGGGCGGAAGAGAGGGGAGGGGAGGAAGGCTGTGGGCAACAATAACAGGACAAATGCTACGCTACGATCATAATGGGGATATATTGTCCTGGGATGGGGGCGCAGGATGGTCCGAAGGTGCCAATTCCCTTTCGTATCAAAATAAGTCAGAGAACGGGCAAGGGTAAGTTCTCCCCTAGGCTCATTGTGTAATAGGTAATAGAGAGAAAACAAGCATGGCCAAGAGTGCGCGACGGAGAATTGGGGGAAGGGGAAGGGGAAGGGAAATGGGGCACAAAACAAAAGACGGGCATTGCCTGGAGGCGCTAACATGAGTTCTCATAGGAGACTGCAGATGGAGGAGATGATATGAGGGAGTTGGGCAGGGGATGAGGAGTGTCTTGAAGAGGGATCGATGCAAGTTATATTCGCCTGACGGGATTGGGAAAGCGTTGAAGGGATCGCACAGATGAAAACTCACTGCGTGGCACTTCGTCCCTGCAAGAAAAAAAGAAGAAGAAAACCAGCCGGCTGCGTTGCTGGAACTGGGCTTACAGTGATTGAGCGATTGAAGGGGGGACAAGGCACCGTGGTGAAATGGTGACACTCATTGCTCTCTGGGCGTTTTTGGATGGGTGCTAGCGTCGGTAATTTCCTTCTCTCCCGTCTCTCTTATTCTTCCTACCTTTCCGGGTCCTCCACTCTCTTCTGTTCACCCACCTTTTTCCCTCTTCGTTTTCAATTTTCAAAGCTGAGAGAGCTCGGCCGTAAGGGTGCGGGGAGCAGGGGTGGTGAAGCCGATCCATGCCCCTGTCGCCACTAGTCTCGTCCAAACTTAGCCAGGGTGGGGGCACGCTGACGGACAATGGCCCTGCGGCGATTGACGATGACGACCGGGGAGTGAGGAATGCAACCCCACCCACCCGGAGAGGTTGTGCTGGGTGTTGGAAAAGCCAGGCGCACGAAAAGGGGAAGCGCACCGACGATTTCGGAGCGGCAGCCCTGTGCCTTGTGCCTGGCCTGGCCCACTGCAACTCAATTTGTTACCTGAAGCCAATTCTGCAAAAGGGAATCAGGGCCAAATAGTCTTCAAGACTAAGGCCAATGAAGAAATCAAGTAAAGGTGAGATGTGAGAAATGGGAGCCGCAACCCCTTGGAAATTATCCTCGAAAGGAGAAGCCCCCGCCAGGCTGTATCAATATTCCCTTCCGCGTTCTTTTTGGTCGATGGTCGACGAGTGCGCAAGCCCAATGGCTAAACTTGGCATTGGCCTCGAGATGTCCGAACCCATGAATTCAGGGGCTCCATCTTTTGAGTTCTCAGGACTCTGAGAAGGGTTGCGTGGGGGCTCTCCTCGAAAAGTTAAGGGGCGCGGGGCAAGACAGCACGATGAAGTTTGGTCGCGATGACGCAGCGGCGCCCTAAGCTGTGGACGATATCGGCGCCCTAAGCTGTGGACGATATCGGCGCCGGAAAACCCTTGGCGCCAACGGAATCAGTGGAGAGAACAAAGAGAGAATCAAAGGATTTCATGACTTCCGAAGGAGCGGGATCGTCATCATCCCGCTGTGAGGCTGAAAATGGGGAAGATGAGTAGAAAGACAAGGAGAGAGAGTGAGAGTGAGAGTGAGAGGGGAGCGGGGAAACAGGGTACAGGGAATTGGGTGGCAGGCGGGAGCCATCACCACGACTGGTGAGGTTGAGATCAAGCATCAACCCGGATTGATCCTTGTGGACAACATGAAGTTTCGCAATGGCTGGACGGAGGGTCAGCCGGGGTACTACTGAATATGGGGGACAAGCCCTGGGTGACCTCGCTAATTCCGCTGTTGAAGGCGCCTGGCATTTCCCCCATTTTCCAAGTCTTGAATGGGGAAAGAACAAGGCCCTCGAGGATCCACTTCGTGCTAGGTTCCCGAGAAGTTGGGGCAGGGACAATCGAAGATACACGACTTGGTAATAATCGTTCAATTGGGGAGAGGGGAAGGCACGAGGGGTAGTCAGGAAGACTCAAAACGCGAAAGCTGACAATTTCTTCAACGGGGGACGAAGCGAGCAGTAACATTACGAGATGGTGAGACACCAAGGACAAGGCCTACGACCCATCCAAGTCTGATCTGTCATAAATCCGCTTCCAGCCTGAAGACTCCCCTCACTCCAGCTCCCAGGTCGCCGGGAGAGATGTGACTGCCAGACAAGGGTAGAAGCAGCCCTGGAGGAATCACCTCAGGCAGTCAGGGTGGATATAGCAGCACGGAGACGCCCTAAGCTAGGAACGAGAAAGCAAGGATTGTCATGCGTTCTGAAAGGAATCGGACAAGAGGGTGGGATAATACTCATTCATTCGAGCGGAACCTGCAACACGGAACCAAGAGCGTGGGAACATAACTTTGAGGTCGAGAAAGACCTGCATGAAAGAGGCCTTCACCGGTGCTTGGCTGCATTAGATTTGAGCATATTTTGGTGGCACGCAGCATTACTGACCTCATCTCAGTCGCTCACCTCTATCTTTGCATCATCTTCAACACCGAGGGGCATGACAATTGACGATTGATCCTTGAACTGACGGCTCCCATGGAAGGCGCAAGGCTTGCTTGATTGAGTAGCATTTCGTCTTTTCACTAGCGCATCGAGGGAGGGGAGAATGAGCGCAAAGAGAGCAGTCGACATCGCCCCCATCCCAAGGCCCCCGCCCCTCTCTGAGTCCCAAGTCATGCACGATGGATATCGGAGATGCAGGCGGCGCTGACTTCCCAAATGGCGGAATGTTTTCTTTTTGTGAGCCGGGGAAGTGTTTGCCAGCTCGACCTAGCTCGGTATTCTTACCTCAGTCTTGCTCCACAAATTGACAAAAACACACGTCACGGCGACGCCTCAAAATCAAAGGCTCGTTCTCGTTTTTACGAGGCCGAAGACGCCCGGGCACCGAGAGTTGCCTAGTTCATAAGGGGAGTTGACTGAAGCTAGCGCGACGCTAACCGCAAGAGCAGGGAACATCCGCCATTGGTGGATCCTCGAAGAGACCAGGGAAGAGACCCTGGCTCACTTGGAGGGGACGGTTCGTGCGCCCCCATCGGTGGCACCTGTGAGCAATCCTTCGTGTAAGTGGATGAAGAAGATGGGTGGTTCATGTGCTGAGTTGGTGCAACTCCAAACCCTTGCAGTGTACTTGTCTCATGCATCTCAACTCTGAAAGCACCTTGATAATGCTCGAGAGAGTGTGTAAGAGAGGGGAGAAGGCAGAAGGTAAACTTGAGAATGGTACTAGTAGTGGTGGTTAGGGAGTCGTGGAATTGGCCGGCGTCGAGAGGGGCTAACCAGTTTGGCCTATATCTTTCCTCAAGGGCTATGGAAACATTTAGTCGGGAAAGTTTGTTTGTGCCACGACTGGATTTATTACAAGAGTGCCCTTCTTGGCCCAGCGCGGAGAAATGGTGCCTTCTTTGCGAGGAGAAGAAAATGACAAGGAAACAGAGAAAGCTTTGGCCACCAGGCTGGGCAACGAGCTAAAACAGTTCGACAACAACAACAACACCAAGCTTCCGGCCCCGGCCCGGCTGTTGCTATCTTCTGAGCGTCCTTTCCTAGTCGGGACTGGTCGCTCCAATTTTCCACTTGTCGTTTTCTGAGCACTGTTTCAACGACATTCGACACATTGTAGCCAAGCCGCCACTCCCTCCGGCTTGACATCAACGACTTCAAATTTATTGACACAAAGAGATGGTTGTGTCTTGCATCGTTTGGTTTTGGGCGTATTAACGAAACAGAAAGAAGTGCGATTGATATTTGCCCTGCTGTTCTCCGACATA